AAAAGAGAATATATAAATTTTTAAAGATAAACAAACTATTATTTTTAAATAATTTAATTTAGAAAAATTAAAGAAGCACTTAATAATTAAAATATTTGTTAATTAATTTCACAAATATTAATATTATTTTCATTAAAAATACTTTAATATACTAAATTTAAAATTATTTTAATTAAATTATGCCTTTCTAATTTTAATATTTCTACTTTTATTCATTTAGTGTTCATAAATACTAATCTAAACTTAAATCATCGACAACATAAGTTTCTATTTCTACTTTGTAGTCATCTCCTGCTTTATAAAAATATACTCCAAAACCATAATCTGTATTTACTAATATATTTTCTTCATTCACTTAATTAATATTTTTGTAATGAGGATAATCCATAAATAACACTTTTCTTGTCTATACATTTACTCTTATCTCGATAAAATTAATCTAATCTCTAACTTCATATAAATTCTTTCCTTTTATAATTTTATTTAATCCATAACTACTATTAGAATAAAAACAACAGTTTCGATAACCCAACCAATTATTATGAATACTTTCTGTTTCCGTAATTCCAAAACCAATACCACCATTTATACAATCTAAATATTTGTTAATTTTGCATCTAAATATATAGTTTAAATTAGGTTCCAACTTATTACATGTCATAATTTAACCATCTAGGTTTGAAGGTTATTTGACTATATAATTATTATTTTATTTATTTTTTTCTAAAATTAACTTTTAGCTTTCATTATAATTTGTTTTAAAAAAATCAATATTTAATTTTAAAGTAGTAAATTATTGAGTTTCTAGAATTGGAAAGTCAACTAATAATTTATCCATAATTTTGTTTATACCAAGTAAATGTGATACTAGTTAAGAATAATTTTATTATTCTTTTATAGGAAATTAATTATCATAATAATTATCTCCAAACTTTAAAGGAAGCTCTGAAATTTTATCTGCTAATTTTTGTAAGTTATTTAGTTGATTCTCATTAAACTTAGAGAAATTTATATTTGTATTATGACCATTTTAGAAAATGTTTTCATTCAAGAATAAATTTTTTATTATTTATTTGTAATTATTTGTAACTTCTTTTGCATTTTAAATAAACTAAGCACTACAAAAGTTTGTTTTATTTTCAATTAATGAAATTAGATTTTTAATATCTTAGTTAAGCTTTGATTCTTACTCTCCTATTTAATTTTAATTATTCATCATATTATTTGTTTCTATGCTTTTTGTTAAATTTGATATTTCTATGATCTATTGTTCAGTTAGCTACTCACCAGTTATAGATTATTTATCAGGCAATAAATAATTTGAGAAATCAATATTATTAATAAATGGTAAAATCTAATCAAAATTATTTTATAAATTGTTTAAAAAGTTCTAAGAACAATGATTAAATTTATTCGATATTAAATTCATAAGCACTTATTTATTTTAATTGTTTTGATCATTTTGAATATGATTTCTATTAATATATTCTGATATATTCTTAATCAGATCTACCTAATTGCTTTCTAATTTTTAAAAATCTATTTTTAATAAGTCTTCATTCAGAAATTCTTTTACATTATGTTAGTCAATTATAAGTGATAACTTTTTTATTATTTCCTAGAGTTTACCAAACAATTCTTCAGAACAGTAATTTAATTGGTTACTTATTAATTTTACTATTAACTGACTCGTTGTTAAGTCTCTAACTCTCATATTATTCAAATTATCAAACTTAAAATCTTAATTTTAGAAATGTGTGTTTACTTTGATGTCTTAGAAATTTTTGATTACAAACATATCAATTGAATCTAAAAGTTGTAAAATATTCTAATTGATTTCCTAAGCTGTATCAAAGTTAATTAAAGATTTCAAATTTTCAAAGCGATTAACTGTTTCTTACAAAATTTGCTTATAATTATTTTGGTTATTAAAAATTCTGCAAATTGTTTCTTTCAGAAGTAAATTTTATTTGTTGAAATCACCATTTAGCTATGTAATAATTTTCTTCAAGTTATCTTTTTCAGCGAATTAGTTGTATTAAATCATAACCTGTTCGCCTATATTCCATAGTGATTTAGCCTACTGAAGCATTTGTTATTCTTTTTGATTGATTCTTAATTCGATTGATTTTCTTAAATTCTAGAAATATGAAATAATCTTCTTTTATAAGCCTTCTACAGAGAAATCACCTTAAAATACCATTTAAAGATTCTACTAAAGTTAGTTGTCTCCTTAAACAGGCCAATTATGAAAAAGAGTTTTTTCATTTTCTTCAATAAGACTTATAAGATCAAGAGTATTCTAATTAGGATTTTAAGATAGGCATCTGGCGCATTAGAGAAATTGAGTAGAGTTAGGGTTTGTACTGAGAGAAACAATCCAATTCTTAGGATGAAGAGGGCAGCTTCTATATGACTTTGATAATAAGAGTAGTTCTTATTCACTCAAATTAAGGTTTTCAGCAATCTATACTTAATTCATTTATAATCTGATATGATCTGAAATTCTTTCTTATATGCTTTAAAATCTATTTTCCTTTCTTTGTATCTACTTTATTTTTTCTTTTATTTTGAATTAAAATAAAAATAATGTTTTTAATTATACTAAATATATTAGCTTTTTCTTAATAAAGGCAATTCATTATTTAATATACAGAAAATTTATAATTAAAATAAAGAAAAGGAAGATATAATATATAAAATATCTTTATTTTGACTGACATTTAGATATTAGAATATTGTTTTAACTATAAATTGTGTTATCTCAAGCAAAAGATTTGAAATTTATTTAATTAGTTTATAAAAGAAACACGTTTATAAATTTAATAATTTGAAATTTAAAAGACATAAATTATTATATAAATATAATATATGAGACCAATATGTGAATATGCATAATCATTTTTATTTTTACTATATATTGATTAAATATAACCATTCTTAGTCCAATAACAAATGTTCTAAATCCCACCAAATAAATTAAAATATAGGATAAATAAGTTAAAATTTCTAACTAATTTCCCGAAATTTTATGAAGAAACTGTAAAATATCTTAAGAATTATACATCTTGAAATAAAATTTCATCAAATAACTATTAAACAATAATGAAAATTTAAAAAATATTAATAGAATTAAACTATATTTCTAATATAAGTTTTTACATATTATATTGCTAAAAAAAGTTGGACATCCCAAATATCATAATTCTAAATAAGGTCTCAATAAAATTTAATTCTATTTAAATAGTACCTTTTTACTTTATATTACTATAACATATTTTATATATTCACCTCTTTGTCAATGAATATGTAATCAATTTAAAAAATAAAATTTACAATTATTTTTTAATTTGAAAATAACTCTTAGAGAAAAAAAATTGGATAAAGAATTTGTCTAACAGCAAATTGACTTTTTTGATAATAGCCCAGGATCAAGTAAGAGGGATTTATAAAAATTATTAGAGGCTAACCCTCAAAATGTCTCCCCAACACATTAGTCAGTGCTTTACATGAGAATTATTAGGAATAATCAAAATCTATGAAAGTTATTGAGATTTATACTAAAAATAAAAGACTAAAAGTACTATGAGCTAGGAGAATTCTTAGATCTTAATAGAAAAAAGATAAGTTCATGCATATTTAATTATAAAACTTGGATTACTAATTAATAAAGAAACTAGTTACATATGACATAACTGATAAAATGATATACAGATTAAGTATAAAGTAAAAAGGTGGCCAAAAAAGATAATGATTTTGGGAGCCATTCACATTTCAGGAGCTATCTCTATTCAAATTGTTGATGGTGTATTAAATCAAGATTCAAATTATAAAATTTTATAAAGTTTTTTTAAAAAGGAGAATTTAAATAATTAGATTTTTCATGCTTCTAACATGATTATGCTCGACCTCGCGTTGATAAAAAATAAAAGAATATTTTTAATCTCAAAAAATTTAAATACTGGGATGGGCAGCATAGAGCCCAGATATAAATAACATCCAAAGAGTATGGGCTATGCTTAAGAAAAAAACTGAAAAAAGATTTGATTAAATAAAAAATTTTAATAATTTTAAAAAGGTTGTTAAATAAACTTTGTTACAAGATAAAGACATATAATAATTGATACATAATTGAATTAGTAATATTACTATTTAGTTACACAATGTTATTTAAAAAAATGGAGAAATAATTAATTGAAATTTTATATTTATTTCTTTTTAATTTTATGTAACTTAATTATAATATCCTATGTTTATTTCCTAAAACTTAACTTAAATAATTCAATAAAATGCAATGAAGTAATATAATCTAATTATATATATATTATTATTTACCTTTAATATTATCTAGAAATATAAGAGTTTTCAAAAATAAAAAAAATCTAAAAGAATTCTTTCAGTTATCAAACTTTTTTTGCATAAATACCATTTATTTTTGATTGCATTAACATAATAATAGAAGTAATAAAGAGTAGAATATAGCAAAAATATGAAAAAAATTAAATGGAAAAATAATCTAAAACATAATATTTATTGATGTAATAGGAATTTAATTAATCTAATGCTATCCTAAGAAGACATAGACAGACTTGAAAGAGATAAAAAGTTGAAAAAGTAGAATATAATATTAAATTAAACTTTTGGGTTTGAATCTCAAAAAATGCTACAATGTTATTGCTTATCTAAACTTAAATCATCTACAACATAACTTTCTATTTCTACTTAATAGTCATCGCCTGGGGTATTAAAGTACACTCCAAAACTATAATCTGTATTTACTAACATATTTTCTTCATTCATTTAATTAATATTTTTGTAATGAGGATAATCCATAAATAACACTTTTCTTGTCTATACATTTACTCTTATCTCAACAAAATTAATCTAATCTCTTACTTCATTTAAATTCTTTCCTTATATAATTTTATTTAATCCAAAACCATTACTATTAGAATAAAAACAACAGTTTTCACTATACAACTCTTGACTATGTATAAATTTTGTTTTCATAATTCCAAAAATAATACCACTACAATTTAAATATTTGCTAACTTTGCATCTAAATATATAGTTTAGATTAGGTTCCAACTTATTACATGTCATAATTTAACCAAAAAGACTTTAAGGTTATTTGACTATATAATTATTATTTTATTTATTTTTTTCTAAAATTAACTTTTAACTATCTCTAAAATTTGTTTTAAAAAAATCAATATTTAATTTTAAAGAAGTTAATTATTGAGTTTCTAGAATTGGAAAGTCAACTAATAATTTATCAATAATTTTGTTATTACCAAGTAAACATGATACTATTTAAGAATAATTTTATTATTCTTTTATAGGAGATTAACTGTTATAATAATTGTCTCCAAACTTTAAAGTAAGCTCTGAAATTTTATCTGCTAATTTTTGTAAGTTAATTAGTTGATTCTCATTAAACTTAGAGAAATTTATATTTGTATTATGACCATTTTAGAAAATATTTTCATTCAAGAATAAATTTTTTATTATTTATTTGTTATTATTTGTAACTTCTTTTGCATTTTAAATAAACTAAGCACTACAAAAGTTTGTTTTATTTTCAATTAATGAAATTAGATTTTTAATATCTTAGTTAAGCTATTATTCTTATTATTCTATTTCATTTTAATTATTCATTGTATTATTTGTTTCTATGCTTTTTGTTAAATTTGATATTTCTATGATCTATTGTTCAGTTAGCTACTCACCAGTTATAGATTATTTATCAGGTAATAAATAATTTGAGAAATCAATATTATTAATAAAAGGTAAAATCTAATCAAAATTATTTTATAAATTGTTTAAGAAGTTCTAAGAACAATGATTAAATTTATTTGATATTAAATTCATAAGAATTTATTTTTTTTAATTATTTTGATCATTTCGAATATGATTTATATTAATATATTCTGATATATACTTAATCAAATCTACCTAATTGCTTTCTAATTTTTAAAAATCTATTTTAATTAAGTCTTCATTCAGATAATCTTTTACATCATGTTAGTCGATTATAAGGGATAGCTTTTTTATTATTTCCTAGAGTTTAGCAAGCAATTCTTCAGAGCAGTAATTTAGCTTGTTGCTTATTAATTTTACTATTAGCTGGCTCGTTGTCAAGTCTTTAACTCTCACATTATTTAAATTATCAAATTTAAAATCTTAATTTTGGGAATGTGTATTTACTTTGATTTCTTAGAAATTTTTGATTACAAACATATCAATTGAATCTAAAAGTTGTAAAATATTCTAATTGACTTCCTAAGCTGTATCAAAGTTAATTAAAGACTTCAAATTTTCAAAGCGATTAACTGTTTCTTACAAAATTTGCTTATAATTATTTTGATTATTAGTAATCCTGCAAATTGTTTCTTTCAGAAGTAAATTTTATTTGTTGAAATCACCATTTAGTTATGTAATAATTTTCTTCAAGTTATCTTTTTCAGCAAATTAGTTGTACTAAATGATAACTTATTCTCCTATATTCCATAGAGATTTAGCTTACTAAAGCATTTGTTATTCTTTTTGATTTATTTTTTCTTGGATTGATTTTCTTAAATTCTAAAAATATGATGTAATCTTCTATTATAAGCCTTCTACAGAGAAATCACCTTAAAATACCAATTAAAGATTCTACTAAAGTTAGTTGTCTCCTTATACAGGCCAATTATGAAAAAGAGTTTTTTCATTTTCCTCAATAAGACTTATAAGATCAAGAGTATTCTAATTAGGATTTTAAGATAGGCATCTGGCGCATTAGAGAAATTGAGTAGAGTTAGGGTTTGTACTGAGAGAAACAATCCAATTCTTAGGATGAAGAGGGCAGCTTCTATATGACTTTGATAATAAGAGTAGTTCTTATTCACTCAAATTAAGGTTTTCAGCAATCTATACTTAATTCATTTTTAATCTGATATGATCTGAAATTCTTTCTTACTTTATTTTTTCTTTTAAAATATAAATAATATTTTTAATTTTACTAAATATATTTATAAGCTTATTCTTAATATTTATGCAATTTATTATATAATATACAGAGAAGTATTAATTGAAATAAACAAATAGCAGCAAGCAATGATATATAAAATATCTTTATTTTGACTGACATTTAGATATTAGAATATTGTTTTAGATACAAGTTGTCTAATTTCAAGCAAAAGATTTGAAATTTATTTATTAGTTTATAAAAGAAACATGTTTATAAATTTAAATTTATTGATATTTGAAAGGCATATATAATTATATAAATATAGTATATGAGATCAATAAATGAATACACCATATCTTTTTATTTTCACCTAATTATAGATTAAATATAAATTTAATTTCCCGAAGTTTTATGGATAATATGTATTGTTGTTTGTTTCAAATAAAATGACTCTTAATAAATAAATGAACACAGTTTATTTTTATTTTTTCACTAATTAATTAATATATTTATATTCAACTATTTATTTTTTCATTTTATTAAAATATTTTATGATTTATCATTTTAAGAATATTAATATCAATAAAAATAAGATTAGGAATCTAAAAAATAATCAAAACTAAAATAAGAATAATCCAAATCAAACCAAAAGAAATGAAATAAAATGCAAGAAAGAAAGAAAGACTTTTTTTTAAACTGAAGAAGTTCCAATAAAACTTAGAGTAGAATATCAAAAGAAAAGAAGTAATAATACAAATAAAAATAAAAGAAATAAAAATAAAAATGAAGAATTCTAAATAAAATAAAAACTAACTATTAAAATAGAAAAGTAAATAAATAAACACTTAATAATTAAAATATTTGTTAATTAATTTCACAAATATCAAAATTATTTTCATTAAAAATACTATTATAAAGTCAATTAATATTTATTTTAAGTAAATTATTCCTTTTTAATTTTAATGTTTCTACTTTTATTCATTTGATACTCATAAATAATAATTTAAACTTTAATCATCTACAATTTGAGTTTCTATTTCTACTTCATAGTCATCGCCTGGGGCATTAAAATATACTCCAAAACTATAATCTGTATTTACTAACATATTTTCTTCATTCATTTAATTAATATTTTTGTAATGAGGATAATCCATAAATAGCACTTTTCTTGTCTATACATTTACTCTTATCTCAACAAAATTAATCTAATCTCTTACTTCATATAAATTCTTTCCTTTTATAATTTTATTTAATCCATGTTTACTACTACCTGAAAAAAAACAACAGTCTTACTTGTCTAATGAACTATTATTTTTACTTTCTGTTTTCATAATTCCAAAACAAATACCACCACAGTTTAAATATTTGTTAAGTTTGCATCTAAATATATAGTTTAAATTAGGTTCCAACTTATATTTTGTCATAATTTAACCATATAGTTTCTAAGGTTATTTGACTATATAATTATTATTTTTTTCATTTTTTTCTAAAATTAATTTTTAGCTTTCTTCTCTATCTGTTTTTAAAAAATCAATATTTAATTTTAAAGAAGTAAATTATTAAGTTTCTAGAATTGGAAAGTCAACTAATAATTTATCCATAATTTTGTTTATACCAAGTAAATGTGATACTAGTTAAGAATAATTTTATTATTCATTCATAGGAAATTAACTGTTGTAATAATTATCTCCAAACTTTAAAGAAAGCTCTGAAATTTTATCTGCTAATTTTTGTAAGTTATTTAGTTGATTTTCATTAAACTTAGAGAAATTTATATTTGTATTATGACCATTTTAGAAAATGTTTTCATTCAAGAATAAATTTTTTATTATTTATTTGTTATTATTTGTAACTTCTTTCGCATTTTAAATAAACTAAGCACTACAAAAGTTTGTTTTATTTTCGATTAATGAAATTAGATTTTTGATATCTTAGTTAAGTTATTATTCTTATTATTATTATTATATTTCATTTTAATTATTCATCATATTATTTGTTTCTATTCTTTTTGTTAAATTTGATATTTCTATGATTTACTGTTCAGTTAGCTACTCACCAGTTATAGATTATTTACCAGGTAATAAATAATTTGAAAAATCAATATTATTAATAAATGGTAATATCTAATCAAAAATATTTTATAAATTGTTTAAAAAGTTCTAAGAACAATGATTAAATTTATTTGATATTAAATTCATAAGAATTTATTTTTTTTAATTATTTTAATCATTTTAAATTACCTAATTGCTTTCTAATTTTTAAAAAGCTATTTTAATTAAGTCTTCATTCAGATAATCTTTTACATCATGTTAGTCGATTACAAGGGATACTTTTTTTATTATTTCCTAGAGTTTTGCAAGTAATTCTTCAGAGCAGTAATTTAGCTTGTTGCTTATTAATTTTACTATTAACTGACTCGTTGTTATGTCTTCAACTTTCACATTATTCAAATTATCAAATTTAAAATCTTAATTTTAGGAATATGTGTTTACTTTGATGTCTTAGAAATTTTTGATTACAAACATATCAATTGAATCTAAAAGTTGTAAAATATTCTAATTGATTTCCTAAGCTGTATCAAAGTTAATTAAAGATTTCAAATTTTTAAAACGATTAACTGTTTCTTACAAAATTTGCTTATAATTATTTTGATTATTAAAAATTCTGCAAATTGTTTCTTTCAGAAGTAAATTTTATTTGTTGAAATCACCATTTAGCTATGTAATAATTTTCTTCAAGTTATCTTTTTCAGCAAATTAGTTGTATTAAGTGATAACCTACTCACCTATATTCCATAGAGACTTAGCTTACTGAAGCATTTATTATTCTTTTTCATTGATTCTTTGTTCGATTGATTTTCTTAAATCTTAGAAATATGAAATAATCTTCTATTATAAGCCTTCTACAGAGAAATCACCTTAAAATATCATTTAAAGATTCTACTAAAGTTAGTTGTCACCTTATACAGGCCAATTATGAAAGAGAGTTTTTTCATTTTCTTCAATAAGACTAAAAAGATCTAGAGTACTCTAATTAGGATTTTAAGATAGGCATCTGGCACATTAGAGAAATTGAATAGAGTTAGGGTTTGTACTTAGAGAAACAATCCAATTCTTAGGATGTTAAGGGCAGCTTCTATATGACTTTGATAATAAAAGTAGTTCTTATTCGTTTAAATTAAGGTTTTCAGCAGTCTATACTTAATTCATTTTTAATCTAATATTATCTATCTGCAATTTTTCTTATATATTAACTCTTTGATTTAAAACAATTATCTTCCTTTCTTTTTTTAATTAGATTATTTTTCCTTTTATCTCAAATTAAAAAATAAAATAGTTTAAATCATACCAAATTGATTAGTTTTTTCTTCATACATAAGCAATTTATTAATTAATACACAAAGCAAAAATTGATACCTATAATATATAAAATACGTTTATTTTGATATTTAAATTTTTGAATAATTTTTTAGCTGCAAGCTGTTTAATTTCAAGTATAATATTTGAAACTTAATTATTTTATAAAAGAAACAAACAAACATATTTATAAATTTAATTATTTTAGATTTGAAAGAAATAGTTAATTTGAATATTTTTTTTATATTATATTTATCTTTGATTATATGTATGTTTGCTTTATATTTTTTCAATATAAAAGTAGAAATTATTGTAATAATTAATAGATAAATATGGTAAAAGATAATAGAAAAACATATTTAGATAAATACATATTTAAAAAAATGGTGGTCTTTTTAATAATAAAAAAAATAAATTTTACTTATTCAATTAACTTGTACTAATTTAATATTTTTACTTTCAAAATGCTAATTAAAAAAAACAATATTTCTAAAAAAAATTAATTTGTTTTGATATAGATATGTCTATATATTTGCTAAATTGCTATATATTTTGATTTAAAATGGATAGAAAATTATATAAATTATAATTATATCTTTCTTTCTTTATGTGTATATGTATGTATGTATTTATCTGTTTGTTTCTTTATTTTCATCTTGTTTTTGTTTTAAAATGTGAGAGTAGAAAGTAATCTTTTAATTAAAAAAGATAGATGTATTCGGTAAAAAGATTATCCAATCATTTTATGGATAAAGCATTGTTTATAAAAATAGTGGTAGTTGGAATGATTAAGCAATCAATAACTTATTGCTTATTCAACTAATTTGTATTAATTTAATTTATTAATTTCAAAAAGTTAATATTAATTAATTAATTAACACAAGGTTTCAAATAAAAATTAATCTTTTTTTGCCAAAGTTATGGATAGAAAGTCGAGTTCATAGGTCAGATAAAGAAAAGCCAATAAATAAAATGCAGAATAAAAGTAAGAGCCAATATTGAATTTTGAAGAAACACACATAAGTGTTTACGATGAGCAATAATTTGCTGGCGAATTGTTAGCAAAATAGTTTATAGATCATTTGATAGATGAAGGAGCTAAAGTGCTATACGATCATTATCTATAATCTAAAGTAGAATATACTTTTACTTGCATTTTTTTTTGTTTCAAGCAAAGCTAATAAAAAATTCAATATAATAATAGGTCGCTTAACACACAACAGATACAATGTTTACTTTAATTGATGATATAATAAGATTGCAATTCAGAAAATAGGATAATAGATTTAATGATCATTCTGAACTAAAAGAAGAAAAAATACCTAAAAACCATTACGATGCACATTCAGCATATGCAATTAACATAGATAAAAAACTTATCAGTAAAATTAGCAAATTTAGAGATTTATTTAGCAATAATTCAATTGTTTTAAATGATAGATTTAGAAGACGAATAAGTTGATGACCTAATTTAGTAACCTACTAGTCCCTATAGGACTTAGAAAACATTTAATTCAACCCGTTCTAAATTAAGGGTAAGTTATACTCAAATACATAATATGCAAATCAATTACTATGTTTTTAATTGTTTATTTAAAAATAAAGCCTATGTCTTCAACAATAACAGAAGAACTTGGTAAGACTAAAAGAAAGAAACCTGAAAATGATCTAATACCTATCCCAGAGCCAGAGAAAACTTTGGAAGATCAATTGTTATTGAATGAAGAATAAAAAATGAGAACAATTTATAATCTCTAGCTTAAAGAACTCCAAAAAAAGAAGGAGTAAGAGAAATTAAGATAAGAGGAAGTAAGCAAATTATTGAAAATGATTAAATTTTATTCAAAAATATTATCAAAATTATAAATTAATCTATTGCTTTTTTATTCTATTTATTTACAACTTTAAAATAACTAAAAAAGGAAAAAAAGATTGAAGAATTTAAAAAGAAAGCAAGAAAAGATTTGGATGGAAAATCCTACACGTACGATTATAATGGATAGCCTATTTTCTTTAATAAGAAGAAACAAATTGATTAGTAACCTCTTGTATGCACAGTACCGTAAATCTAAAAAATAATTTATATGATGATTGAAGTTAATTGCTTTTATGGAAATTTAAAGGTTTTAGATAAAGTCATCGAAGAATAAAGATAGCAAAGATGAAATTATCGAAGCAGATACTTCGAAATTAACTTAAGAATAAAAGGATGATTTAGAGAAAATAAAATCAATTGCAAAATCAGGAAATTCTAATCACGTTGAAAAAGCTAGAAGAAAATAATCTTCAAATAGTCAAGTTTCTAACCTTGATTCTTCTATAAACAGAAGAAGAAGTTCAATAGATTCTAAGTGGAGAATGGAGGAAGCTTTGAAAAAGAAGATTCTCAACATTCCTATTGAAGAAGGCCAAGAAGTTCCTGCAAAATAAAGAACTTTGAAATAAAATGTCTAGCCAGCTCCTCCCAAGCAAGCCAAAAAGGAAGAAATCCCTGATGAAGTTTACAATAATGGAAATATGAGATAGACTTCTATGATTCCCTATATGACCATTCGTGATGGAGTCAAACTTACAGAGTATCAAAATGGTAATGAGGTGACAAAAGTAATAATTATCATTATTAAATCATTTTCATATTTTTTACTTTTTAAATTGAAATTTTAAACATTTTTAATGAGAATATTTTATTTGCTTTAAATGTTAAAAATAATTTCCTTTTGAAAAATGAATCTGAAATAAAATAGCATTTTTGTAACAAATAATAAATAACTTTGAGACATGAAAATTATTAAATTATCCTTAAAGATTTTAAATTTTTGATACTTTAACAAATTTTATGATAATAAAAAAGAAATATTTTGTTTTCTTATTATTATCTGAAAATAATATTTAATCTACTATTGAAAAACTCCCAATTCTTCTTATTTGTTTGCTTAATAATCCATCAAAAAGCAGTTGAAATAAAATTCAATTCATTTTAAAATATTTAAGATTGATTATTTTTAATTTTTATTAAATAAATTGTGATTCAAATTTGAATGAGAAAGATAAAAATTTACTTAAATTATATCAATAAATAAATAAATTATAAAATATTTATTTAGTTGCCAGATGAAAAACCTTCAACAGATTAAGATGAGAATAAAAAGAAGCAAATGACCAGAAATGAATATTTTAAATTAATAGAAGATTCTAGGTTTTAAGAACCTCAGTTTAGATAATAATAAATGTCTAATAGTAGAGGTACATTTACGTAAAGAGGAGATTTGAACTCAAGAGAGAATATTACATAGCAAGAAGACATAAAGAGTTTTGAAAGAGAAGAAAAAGAATTCAAAAAATAAAGAGTCGCTTCTATGCTAAGTAATTCAATTAAATAAATTTATGAAATAAGAAACAAAAAATATAAATTTAAATAATTAGTTGATGAAAATTAAAATGTGAACGATTTAGATGAAGAAACTTAAAAAGAAAACAGTGTTTATTAAGCTAGTGTAAATGGGTATAAAGCAGATCATTTAGTAATAAAAGATACTTAAGTAAAAAGAAAAAGAATTAGCTCTCAAGTGGATGCAAATACTTAATACAAATACAATAATATCAATCCAAATTACTTTAAAAACTACGTCCCTAATCCATCATTCAATAATAATAAACAAGAAACAAAAAATCAAAATAAAACAAAGGAAAATAATGTAGATGGTAGGTATAAAAGATCCATCACTCATGATAATCCTACTCAACAATAAGTACAATAAAAATCATAGCTAGAAAATAGTAAAGAACAATAAAAGGCAGACACTCAAGGAATTGTTTTACCTTAAATTCCTGCTTTCTAAAAGAAAAAACAAGCTATACTTTAAGATATTTTTAATTAAGAGCAAAAAAGAGTCTCTAGCAGTAAATAAAGATAAAGAGTTAAAAATAATTCATTAACAGGTGGAAATGCAGTAAACAATGGAATTGATATGAATAACTCGAATAACAATAATAAATTGAACATAACTCACATAGATCACTTTGCATAATCAAAAACAAAAATAAATAATACAGCAGCAGCACCTAAATACCTAAATGTAAATTTATTTAATAAGATTTAAGTTTAGCATTTCAAATTTAAAAAGTATTTTAGAAATCTGATAAGTTTTTCAAACAATCAGATTTATTCTTTTATTTCAAAACTATTTATTTATTTATGGATTCTTTTAATCCAAAATAAACATTTAATAAACAAATCATTTTATTTAGATTTCTAATTTAATTTTATTGAATTTTATTTATAAAAATTAGAATCAAAAATACTTAAATAAATCTGTTGACATATGTGCTGGATAAAAGAAACATAGTACTACTTTAGTGGAGCAAAATTTAAGAGAAAAGTAAGCTGCCTTATTAGAAAAAAATAGAAATATAATAACCTTTGGTAAAAAAGAGGAACTTGTTTAGCTTTTAATAAATGAATGAAACTATATAGCATAAAATTTTGTAAATATTTTAAATTATTAACCATAAAACTGAAAAAATTGTAAAACAGTTTTACTAAATTACTCTTACTGAATTGAAGTTATATTTTGCTTAAAACATATTTAAATGTTAAAAAAGAATTTTATTTATATGACTTTAGATAAAGTAATAAATTAAATTAGATTGATTTGATGAATTAAAATGTATAAGATATATGTGGATTTTATATTAAATTTAAAATAATCAAATTCAATTTATAAAAGATTAGGTAAAATTATTAAAAATAAATATTTAGCATTAAAAAAAGTAAAAATTATACTGTTTTAGTATAATTAATAATAACTTTCAAGCTATTTCATTAAAATATATTACAATAAATTTTTATTTATTTTATGTAAATATTTCTATTTTGTATTTACAATCAGTGATAAAAAATACAAAAATTTTTAAAAGATATTTATATCAAAAAAAAAAATTGTTTAAATTATTTTTTTTGTGTATGTATGAAAGTATGGGGTTTATATTAATTATATATTGTTTGTTTTATTTACAAAAAATTAAATGAATCCGACTTGTTAGAAATTTATGTAAATTAAGTTTCATAGTAAATATAAAAGTAATAAAAGACATAATGAATAGAAAGCTTGAATATTAGTTGATTTTAAAAGATAAAGCAGTTTACAACTCATTAAATTACTTAAATGATTAGAGTACTTTGAATTTATTATCATACATCTGTTTGTTTCTTTTTAAATGCAAATGATATCATTTTTTTTTTCGCAATCTTTTAAATTTTATTTTAAACAAGACTACATCTACTTTTCAAAGTAAACTAAGTCTTTCTGATAGCATAAATTATCTAATTAGCAATTTTCGTAATCCATCTTCTAAATATTGCATATACCAGTATTTAATCCATTGCAACTATCATAACACTTGAATAAATCTGAAGTTATTTTATTTTATTCTTCTGCATTTTTATATTATTTAACACATTGTTAGATTGGATCAACGAAATAGAGTTTATTTTAGCATCTCTTAAACTAATTCCATACTGCTTAACACTAATTATTGTTTAAGCATTACTATTCTAGTTAAATACATGATTCATAGTAACATGTTAGATACTCTGAATATGTTGAGCCATGAATTTACTAAAAAAAAGTGTAATAAGATAAGATTAAAATCCTCCAAATTTGCATTTTTCTTTATAAATAGAGAACTAATTAATTAATTAATTATTATTAATGCAAATTTTATATAACAAGTTTTAATTAACGATAGTAAATCATTACATTTATTTGATATATAAAAAGAAAAAAATATAAAGTAGAACTAAAAAAAGCGTGTTTATTTATTTTATATATCAATTTAATGTTTATATACCCTACATTTCCAGTTTAAAAAGGGACTTAGATAATCTGAAAAATCATTCATAAATAAATAATTTTTGCATACAAATATACTTGAAATTAATTTTAATGATAAAGAAATTAAAAAAAATATTTTCTAGTATATTTCTAAGCTGTTTGTTTTTTATAAGTTAAAAAGATATATGAAATTAAGATTTATGATTTTGATTAATTAATTTCTTATTCACATAACAAATAGAGTAATTACTAATATTAAAATAGCTTTAGCAGCAAGAAGCATAGAAAAATTTGAATTCAATCTACAACCAGCATAATATTAAACCACAGGTGATATGTAGGATTTTTATTATATGCATCTATAGGATTTAAATATGTGACACTAATTGGCATTTTAATAATGTTTACACAAATCTTTATCAGCTATTATGCATTCTTACATATCTTTCTCAAATTCAGCCAATTATTATTCATAACAACTTGCTGAAGATTAACAATTCTCAAAATTTTCAATTTCAGAATTACAAACAAACAAGTTTGCCCCATTGCAATCATTGTAACATCCGTGTAAACTTTCAATTAAATAACCAGTATTAGTGTTTTTATAACTCTAAATATACAAATCCATACATTATATGCTTTGATAATTATATCTAGATCTTTTTTAACATTTTTAAAATTAATTCCATAATATTGAGCAAACAGGATCTTTTACACAATTTTGCTCAAATTAATAACATGACATATTATAGCAAAGTAAAAATTCTATATAAGTGTTTTATGCCTTTATAAAAACTAAAAACAAAATACTTGTTAGCAAAATTCCAAAATTTTTCATTCTTTATTTTTAAACGATTTTTAAGTTTCTATTAGTCTTTAATACATACTCTTATTTCTAGCAATATATTAATTATAAAAACAAATGATTTGATTTTAGCAAAATAAGTATTTTAGTTAAACATCTTAAAAACTAATATCTCACTCAATCTATCATGAATTTCAAAAAGATAAAATAATCAGAAAACCTAAATAGCAATTATTTATAAATTAATGTAAACAAATATTTTCAACTTGCTTAAACCATCACTCCGTTTGTATATATTTATTTTTTTTTTTGGCTGAGTATTCATCTAAAAATAATTAATTAATAGAACGCATAAATAAATAAATCTAATTAATTTCAATTCAAAGTATGATTTAATGATTTTAAATATAATCATCAAAAATATTTCTGAAGTCTATAAGAAATATTGAAATAAATGCTATTAGAAAGAAGTAAAGAACATTTTTAAAATTATTAGTTTGTTTTCCAAAATTAAACAAAAATAGTTCTTTGTATACTTGAAATGTTAAAAATTAAAACAAATAAATACATTATTATTGGGCATTAATTTTCTATTAACAGTTAATAAAAAATTATGTTGATAGAAAAGATTTGTATAATTGTTTTACTAGTTAAATATGAAATATTCTTTCTTGCATGTGTGAATGTATACACATTTTTAAATTTTTATATATAGTAATGCTATGAAGGACATTAAATTAATAAATGTTAATTTTTTCAATTAAAGAAAAGAATAATAAATGCAAATATTTCACCACTCAAATTAAAAATCAATTTACTATTTTTAATAAAAAAGTTTATTCAATAATAATAATTTGTTAAGTGAATCAATTTGTTTTTGTTTGTAGCTATTTTGAAAATCTTTTGTCAGTCATTTAGAAATTAATTGAAAAAATCAAATTTATTTTTATAATTTCTTAATTTATTGAGTTCAACAAAGCACAAATAATAGTAGAAGTGAAAGAAATTATACTGAAAGTATTATTATATTATTTAAACTGTTTTCTAAAATACAATTATAAAGTTAATTTGGTTTTGTTTATAGATTTGATGACTAGTTTATGCAATCAAACATTTGAGAATTATAGCATTTTAGCTTTTGATATTCTTGAAGCTGGCAAGTAGAAACATTTTATTTCATGCAGACTTACAAATTTCCTTCATATACTTTTAAATATTGATTAGCACAATCAAAATTTTAGTTACAGTATTAGTATTCTAGTAAATATTTATTGCATTTATATAAGCTATTGCCTTAGCAAATTTAGAAGCAATTATTTAGTTAAAATAAAATGCTATCATCTTCAGAAGTTTTTATGTATTATTTTTAGCAATTTTAAAATTTTTTGATAGTTTATGATTTATTTGTACATAATTGAAATTAAATCCATTAAATATTACAGCTAATATCCTATTTGCATCTTTACTCAAATTCAAAGCAATTTTCATTGAAACAGTTTAAAAAATCTAAATATGAGAAACAATTCACTTTACAAATTATGAGCATTATGATAATATTTCTTATTAAACTTGCTTTAATCTAGAAACTCATTTTAATCATTTTTATTTTTTATATTAAAAAAAAAACTAAAATTTAATGTTAATGTATATGCCTTATTTTAACTAAATATTAATATAAACATATATATATATATAATTAACTAAATAACTAACTAATAAATGATTTGAATTAATCATATAAAATAAATTTAGAAACCATAAATCTTAGTAACATTCTTACTTACTTATCTAAAAGTAATAGCTTGTTTATAATAACCATATTATAATACTAAATAGTAATAAAAAATTTATTTTTCTTACACAATAAATCATAAAATCAAAGAACACACATATTTGGTGAAGAATGAATTAATCAGAATAATTAGAAATATCAGCATTAAGAATTATAGGAAAATGTTATTTCTAAATAGTTTTTTTTGTAATTAAATAAATACATTTCAATATTTAATAAATATTTATTTAATTTTTATGTATTAATAATAGGGTCAGACCGAATATCACTTTTTAAAAGTATACCGAATACCGAATAAATGATAATTTAAAATTTTTTAAAATTTTGAGATAAAAAATTTGTTAGGAGGATATTAATTTTTTAAAGCTTATTATTAATGATATAAATATAAATAAATAAATTGCAACATTTAATTTAACTAAATATAATTTATTTATTTAATTTCAGCTAGATGATATTTTTTTATAAAAAAGTATATATGCTTAGCATCCTTTCACATTATTCCAATTTGTTTCATGATACTCTTCATCGCTATAATAGAACCAATGAGGTTCTCCACTTTTAATTTTTAATAATTTATAAATATTTTTTAAAAAGAGATTCAATTTATTACTTTGCAAAATGTTTGACATAAGATACATAATGACCTTAAGTTAGAGAGCCCTAATGGCAAACAGTACCATATAGCTCATAATTAATGTTTTTTCTAAATTTCTTAGTATTTTCTTCATTTAATTACTAATTACTAGTGCCTAAAAATAAATAAATAAATAAATAAATAAGTAAATAAAAAATAAAAGTTAGCTTGCTTAGATTAAATTTTTACTTTTAATAAGTGTATATGGATCAACATTTATAAATTCTGGAATATCAACATGAAAATTGATCTTTTCAAATCTGTTGTTTCCAGTTTAGACAAATCTCTTTAAGACTAATGTGAGAACTTAAGGGGTTTCATATAGGTAAAATTTCTTCATTGCTTTGGCTAAAATTGAATAAATAAAAATAAATTGAAAAATAATTTTTAAACAAGAATATATTTATATATAAATATTATATACAGGACTAGCCGCATTTTTCACATTTATAGTAGTTGTTTGTTTTGTTTAAAACTTCAAATCCAAAGAATTCATCAAGAAGATTCTCCAATTTTCTAATTTGAGAATTGTTCTCTTGAATTTTAGAGGTATATTCTAATGGTTCCCACATATACTAAGGAGTTTCCTAAGAAAAATATGGAACTTTTGAACCAGTGAGTTCTTTACTATCTATAACCTGATAAATTTATTATTTCTCAATAGGTTTTTCTTGGTTCTGTTACTTTGATTCCTCATTTTATTTTGCAATCTGATTTTAAGTGGCTGACTAAACATTATTTTCTTTTTTTTCTTCTTCAATACCAAGAATATCAAGAGGAGCAACTATCTTTTTTTATTGTGCTTATTAGCTTTTCTTAGAAACAATTGGAAGAGCTAAATCTAAGCAAAAATCAAAAGTTCTACTGACATGATTGCACTCTAAACATTTAACTAATCAAAAATATTTTAAGTAATTTATGTTAAATTTATTTATATTGCTTACGATAATTAGCCAAATATCCACCAAATATATTTTCAGTTATTGTATTTTTCTATTTTCCTATTTTTTTCTCAATACTCTTTTTAACATTTTGCCACTTTTCTTCTCCAACAATTAAACTATCGAGTAAACATCTTAAAAGATCGTGAGCATCTTATTGCTCAAATGTTTTGAATCTAGAAAACTATTAAGAAATAGCATTATACATACTTTATGGATTAAATATGTGATTTTTAGTTAACCTAGCTTCTACAAGTAATTTTTTGAAAAGCTAATTTATTTTTTTAGCAGGTATTTATGTGTATTTACTATTATCTATGACAGTAATCTTCTTCACATCTTTCTTTTTAACTATTTCATTAAAATAAATTCTTAAATTAGGTCTGTAAAAAAATAAAAAAAACTATTTTAATTTATTAAAAAAGAGTGTTTTAATTTTAATTTGAAATTTATTAATTTTCTTTTGAATAAAAAAAATAAAGCATACTTTATTATTAAATTATATTATTTTATAAGATTGTTAATATTTTAATAAGAAGAAAATATTATTAGCCGTTTAAAATTTACAAAAATAGTTTTTTTATGAAAAATTTGTTATAATTTTATTAAATAATAAAATAAACTTAAAAATGGTGTTTAGATCTTATTTCTATTTAAGCAAAATAAATAATTAAATAATTTTAAGCATTTTTGAAATATTTTTAATGTAAAATAAATTATTTAAATGTTTAATTTTGTATTGCTTCTATTATAAAAAGATTAAAAATATTATATGTTATTGAAAATAATGACATACCACAATTCCATCCATCATCTTCGTCTTTCTTTTCTTAGACTGAAGTTTATTCTTTTTCTTCGTTGTTTATCTCTTCCCAAACATCTATTTATTAATCGAAATCATACTCAATAGAGTCTATGTAATTTTATATGATTAATTCTGTTCCATTTAGACACTATTATATTAATAATTGTTGTTATTTATCAAATTTATTTAGAATTAAATTAAAGCATCTCAAATGTTTGTTTAATAATATCTTTAGAATCAATTCTTCTATATCAAAATTTTTATTAAAATTCTTATCGCTATTAGGTAGAAAAAGAATTTATTATACATATTTTATGGACTAATGGATCAACAGATCTCCTTTTCAAATTTATTAAAAAAAACCGTATACTTGAATGACTGAGTTGAAAAAGCATGTATTCCCTATGTTCTAAAGTCCAAAAATGCAATTAGGTATTTTTTCTAATTTTTAAGGTTGATTTAAGGCATTGTTTTGTTATTTTTAGTCTACAATCTTTACAGTTTGTTAGCTACTATTGTTAGCTGAGATATTGCTTGATTTATTAGTTGTTTGCTACAATTTAAAGAAAATTTGCTTCACTTTATCTACGAATGTTTCTAGCTTTTTGGTATTGTTATTGGATACATTATCTACTTCTAATTCATCCAATATAGATTGTAAATCATTATCGCACTCAAAACAAAATATGAGTAATTTCTTTACTCCAATTGCTAATCTATGCTTCTACTCTACACAGTGTTTTTGTGCACATGCACTTTCTGAGTATTTTGAACATGCTTAATTGCCACAATCTAAGCAAATCCAAATATCACTAGATTGTTTCACATTTAAAGTTTTGTTGCTATGAATGTTAGATTGACAAAAGTCAATTTTTTTAACATTGTTTGCCAAATTGGCAATCTTTTCTACTTTTAACTAAATTTATTAGAATAAATAAAAATATGAAATATATGGCAAAAAATGGATCTTTATCAAAATTTTAAGCATTCTTACAATACCTAAATGCTTTAATAGCTTAAAAGATATATCTAATTTTAATTACCTTGTTGATATGAGTACAGACACTCATGATAATTTGGTTTCTTGATTATGCTACTTTTTTTTCTTACTTAATAACTAAGTTAATTTAACTAATTTGCAATTTACTAAAAGTAAATGATTAATAATTTTCATCTATACCAAATTCGCAAGATATCTTAATATGGAAATAATTTAAAGGTGTTTCTTCTTAAAATACAATAAATGAAAATGATTATTTAATATTTTATTATATTTTTAAATATTAAAATATAATATCTAAAAATTTTCTATAAATTTATTTTTAAAATATTATTTTATTTGTTAAACATTTTTAACAAACTTTTTTTAGTTTAAATCAAAAATATTTTTTGCAAATTTAAAAAATTATTTAAAAATTTAAGATTTAAGGAAAATTTTTAACTATAAAAAAATATTTTATTTTGTTAATATCTAAAAATTAATAAGAAACATTGTTTTTTGTTTTGAAATAACCAGTAAGTGCTATCAACAATTATAATTTGTTATTGTTTTTCAATTAAAAATAATAAATAAATGTTAGTTTTTTATAAACAGATAGATAAGTCATAAAATTTGCTGTTTAATAAAAATCCATTAAAATTTATAAACAGAAAACTCATTTTTAGAAACAATATTGATTCATTGATTGAATCAATGAATTATTAACTAATTAATAATTATTATAATTTTTGAATATTTTAAAACAAAAGTAAATAATTAAATTTATAGATAGAATAGTTCAGATTACAAATAGTTTGTTTTTAATCAATTCTATTTAAGAAAATAGATAGATAGATAGATGTTACCAAGTGCCTTAAAATAGGAAAGTGGGCCTACATCTGTTCTGAATGAACCATAAAAAGGAATATCTTTAGTTTAGTAATAGAATTAAGCACCAAATAAAGCAGCATGCCAGTCAGCTAATGGTTAGCCAAACCCAAAGGAGTTAGAAAAAGATACAAAATAAGTTAAAAAGCAAAAGCAACCAGGATATATTGAGCAATTATGGAGAGCCCTTATTCGTCCACCCAATAGAATTAATTACAAGCCACAATAACTAGGTAATATCAAGGCAAAAATTAAAGAAATATTTTATTTTTCAGATTAAATTAGAAGCAAAACTTGTTTTTTATTGAGATTAAGAAATATTTTAATGCTATTTACTTCATTCATTTAGCGATATGAATAAATTAGATTTCTGAAAGTAGAAATGTTAAAACTTATTTTCAGTTTTTATAGCAATTAAATAAAATTTAACTTAAATATATAAAGGACCTGTCTCATTTGTTTTAGATAAGACTGTCATAGTTAAGAGAGAGGATTTTAAAGTGAAAAACTCACGCGGATTCAATTTAGAGTGCTCTTACTTTGAGCCCATTTCATTATCAGGAAAACCACATCCGTGTGTATTATATTTGCACGGAAATTCATCCAGCAGAAATGAAGGAATAGTTTTAGTTTAATATTTGCTGCCTTATGGGATTTCACTGGTCCTTATGGATTTTTCTGGATGTGGTATTAGTGAAGGTGAATTTATTTCGCTTGGGTATTACGAAAAGTATGATGCTAAATAAGTAATGGAACATGTTAAAAAATGGAAACCAATTACTGAGTTTGGTTTGTGGGGAAGATCGATGGGAGCTGCTACGACACTAATGACTTCTTTGAATGAAGATTTATCAATTAGATTTATAGTTATAGACAGCAGCTTTCTATCTATTAAATAGCTTTGTGAAGAAATTGCTACGAACTAATATAAGGTTCCAAAGTTTATTTTGAATTGGGCATATCAATACATTCGAAGAAAAATAAAAAACTTGGCCAACTTTGATTTAGATGATTGTGACGCTTTAAAAGCTGTTTAAAATTAAAAAAGCAAGCCATGTGCTCTCTTTTTAGTTGCAAAGGCTGACACATTAATTAGTCCTTCCCATTCGCAAAAGCTTTATAATTTATACAGAGGACCTAAGCGTTTATTGATGTTTGAAGGCACGCATAATTCTCGTCGCCCAAAGGAAATTAACCAAGAAATTACTAAATTCTTTTACAACGGTTTTTTTGATGAGTATGCAAAAAAGTAATTTAATGTATTTAAATTGGTTCCTCAGCTTCCTAATTTTAACAAAACAGAAGCCCAGTCAAACCCTAATTAAAATGGCATTCAAAAAAATGTTGTTTCAATAGCTCCTGTTGCAGCGCCTAATTCAGTAGTCTCAATGTAAAATAACCCTTCTACAAAATAAATAAATGGCAATAGCATTTCCAATCCTTCACAAAAAGAAGATAATCTAGGCAAATCAGATTCAAATAATTAAAATGCAACAGCAGTTAGCTTATAAAATAGGACAAAGTATATCTCGACTGGATAATTACAAAGCAAAAATGTTGAAAAAGAAGAAGTTCAAGAAGAAGATGAAGGAGAAATGAATTCGATGCAAAAGTCAGAATAAATAAAAATAAATCCAACAAATAATAATTACAATAATAATAATAATATTCTCAATCATATTTCACTCAACGCTCAGCCACCTAAATTTCATAAAGAGAGATTCTCACCAAAAAGCATAGTGCCAGAGCCCTCAATACAAAATGATACGACTTAATATGATTTTCATAATTAAAATAACACCAAATTTAAGCTAGATTCGTTTTATAAAATGAATCCCTCTGAATTGCAACTTGATAATGGAAATTAACTTAAAATCGGTAAGGAAAATAGCAGTTTCAGCAATATAAAAACTATCAACCACAATTACAACAATAATAATAACAATGTTTATCCTCTTTCTATGGTTCAAAATACTATTTAGTAAGGCAGCAACAGCATTATTTAAATAAATGAAGATGGAAATAACAGTCAAGAAAAATCTGTTGACAGAAATAACAAGAATTAAAAAAGTTAAATCCAATTTTCTAACTTTAGACATATTTAGCAAATGAAAAATTAAAACGAAGAAACATTTATGAAAGAAGAATCTAAGTTAGAGCAATAAGAATAAGAAGGAGTTATGAGTGAGGAATCTAAAGTTTATAGCGTAAATATGCCAAATGCCCAGGTTAATTTGAATACTGAAGGAGTTGAGCAAAGTCCTAAACCAAAATCATAATACAACTTTGACTCAAACAACATTTTGATTAACTTCCAACGCTACAACAATAACAACACAAACAATGCTATAAATTCCAATAATAACATAGGCAGCAATAATGGCTTACAAATAATTAATAATGGAAGCATAATTCAACACCATATAAATAAAAATTAAGATATAAAAGAAGAAGAGGACACTCAATTCAATAGTAAAATAGATAAATTAGATTAAGAAAATGTTAACCAAAATATAGGTCTGAGTGGTTTTTATTTACCCCCAGAATATTCATAAATACACAACAGCGGTGTGCAACAAAACAACTAAGCTAATTCCAACAGATTTCCCTCTCCTAATATCTAAAACATGTAAAATTTTAGTTAAAATGAAAGATTGTAGCAAAATTTGTTCTTCCACACAAACTCCATAATTTCGGGCAACACGCCTAACCAGCATTTAGATAATAAAAATAATCTTGCTAATACACCAGACAGAAATACTTCTCCATGTAAGAAAAACAATAATTTTATACTTAATTGAGAGAATTTAATTTTGATAGAGAGAGGCACATTTTTTATTTATTTTATCTATCTCTATTTTCTAATCAAATTTTTAAAATTGATAGAATTATTTTACACTTTGATTTTGAAAATTTACAATTCTTTTCAAGCACAAAATGTTAAAATCAATCAAGCGAAGTAAATTTATGTAATAAGTTTACAAACCCTCATTTAAGTTATAAAGTATTAACTAACAATCCAAAAAATCTATCTATCAATTAAAAAGATTAAAAAATATAAAAAATACTTTAAAAGTAAATTAACTGATTAAAAAACAGTTAATATTTTAAATAAATTACAAACATTGGTGCATGTAAACGTTCTAAAAGAAAATAAAAATTTAATTAAAATCAAGGAAATGTTTAGAAGCTTGTAAGAAAGTATTTATTACTAGTAAATTCAAAATGTAAAGGCTAAAATTATTTTTTAGATGATAATTTTATTTAATATCAAAATTGTGCTTTAAGATTTTGGGTCAAATAAAATCTATTTTTTCAAAAATTTAAAGAATAAAGAAATAAGCATCTTTACTTCACAAAAAAATTATTAAAATAAAAAGAGATAAAGAATAGAGAGAAAAATTTAGTGAAATTGATTTGTTCGTATTGTAGTTTGAGTGTTTGTTTACTTATCTACAGTAGAGCTGAATTTACTAGTAAAGTTGCTAATAAAAAATTCTATTTGATATAATTTTAGCATTAGTGATTGATGAAAGGTAATTTAAGAACCAGTAAAACATAAATTTAGAATAGAAAGATATTTAGTATTATTTTCAGCAATTTAATCTATTTATTTATTAATCTGACATAATATCGTTTTTTAGTCATTGATGTTAATTATTTTCATCGAATTAATTAAAATATCTTTTCACCATTAAAACTTTTTTAATTATTTCTAGCTAAATTATGTGCTTATGTTACAAATATATCAGAATTAAATCTATCATTCATTCAGTCATACATTAATTTATTCATTCTTTTGAAGTATTTTAGCCTAATGCAAATCAAAATTATTATTTGGAAATATTATAGATAGATAGTTAATGTTTTAGATTTAGACTGTTTAATTTGTCCAAATAATTAATAACGCGAGTATTAATTCTTTTTGATTGCTAAATAGCAAATTATTATTTTTGATTGATTATCTTAGTCAGAATAGCGAATTTACACTTTTTTTCATTCTTTAAAAAACATAAAGCTAGCACTATTCTCTCGAAAATTAAGTAAATAAAAAGCATGTATATATTTTCAAAAAACAAACTAAGCATAAAGACAAATTTTTTGAGAGCATTTAATATTTTATAGAACAAAGAAAATAGTTAATTGAGTTTTGAAAAAAAAAAAACTATGCTCGTTGATAAGAGTTAAAAAATTTTTTATCTACAACAATTGAGCAAAAATTTAATCTGTTCATGTGGTTTGATCAGAATGCGTTTGATTTGAGCTTGAAAAAGAAGAAAATTTCAAAACCATTAGATTAATTTTAGATAACCCCAAAAATGCACTAATTTGAATCAAGCTAATTTAAAAAATGTAAGATAAAAAAATGATAGCCTGTTATAAAATTTAGATTACTCGATTAATATTTTTTAATTTGTAATAACTAATAAAATGTTAAACACATATCAATTTAAAAATAAAATAGTCTAATTTTAGGATCATAGAGCTATTTAGAACATCTAAATAAAAAAAGATTAACAACTAGGTCAAGTAGGGACGTAATATGATGCCTAAGGAAATTTAATTTAAGATTAGAACTAATAGTAACAGAAGTAATAAAATCAAGTTTTCTAGATTCAATAAATAATTCAATTTTGAGAGAATGAAACTAAATGTTTTAATTTTGGTTGATAAAAAGGAAAATAATGAAGCAATTAGCTTACATTTTAATTAAGTAAATATATTTATTGAATTATAGATAATTTTTTGCTAAATTTAAAATATATAAATGCATTAAAAACATACATAGAATAATTCTACTTATAGGTTTTCTCTATGCAATAACTATTTACTATTAACAATAAATAGCTATATACTCGAATAAAATTTATATTAATTTATTAACTAGTTATTATCTCTTCATATGTTTATTTGAGTATATTTATATTATATTTATTGATAAATAAATAAATTAAAAATTTGTGAAGCATATTTTATCTAAGTTCTTTCGAGGAAAGAGTTAAATTATAATGTAAAATTAATAGAATTATAATATCCTAAGTAATAGGTTTAAGCATAAAAATTAAATTATTTTGGTTTTTAGGTGTATACACTAGTAACTGAAATTAAAGTATAGTAATTTACACTATATAATAAAATTAAGCAGTATTTATTGATTAATGCTTGGTTATATCTCCAAGTATGACGCTTTTTTTTTCAGGCGTATTTGAACTGTTAGGCCGCTTTTGATTGCCTATCTGTCTGTCTGATATTTAATTTATGAAATACTATTAGTTTATAAATAATAATTAAATTTACACTTATTTAATTAATCTTTTAATATTGAGTGTAAACAAAATTTTTTAATTAATTTATTGATTGTATGAATGTAATATTTATTTATTATATTGATAAATTCAAGTATATTTTGTAGAAGAATTATTTAATTAAAGAAAGACGACTGACTTTCCTTCTATAAAAAAGAATTACTATTCTTTTTAATTTAGCTATTTCCCCCAAGTATTTCACAAACTTCGAGAAATATTAAAACTTGCTATTTTTTTAATTCAAAAAGTTAGTAAAAAATAATTATGACTACTGACTTATTGACTGATTTATTCATTTATTTGATTATTATTTTGTTTGAATTTTTAAAGTAAACATGAACTAAATTTATTAATAAATCTTTCAAGTAATTATCTAATAAAGAAAGAAGAATTTATGTTTTGATAAAATTTAGATTATATTCTGCTTTATTACAAAACAAAGATCGAGTGTGTAAATGAGCACGAATTTCGTAGGATTTTTTCTTAATGAAATTAAGATATTAATTGTAAATTTGTTTTATTAAAAGTTATAAAAATCCTACCTTTGTAAAAAGGAAGTCTTTTAAAATTAATTATTAGACAATGTCCAGCAAGTATTCTTAAATAAAGCATGAAATAAATTGAGAAGTAAACTGAGTCTACACTCAGACAAAAAGGGAAATTTTCTTTCAAACAAGAATTAAATTACTTTTTATTGATAAAAAGTAATTTGAATAGAACAAGATATTTTCTTGAAACTGTGGAAAACAAACAATGTAGAATTAAATATTATTGCTCACTTTTACGCGTGAATTTGCTAAGTAACTTGTTCTTTTTGTTAGAAAGAGATATGCATAAAATAATTATACAAATTTAGTTTTAGAACATAAAAATAGATTGATTGTCAAATTTTTTATCAAAAGAAAAAATTGCCCTATTTTTATCTAAAATTCTTTTATTTTTAAGTATAATTATAATTCATCAATTAATAAATTAATTAATTAAGTAATTGACTTCCCATGTAAGTAAAGCAGCCAAATTTCATGTCATCATCTTCAAAACTTATAAATTCAGTATTTGAATATTATTTAGAAGCAGTTTTATTGAATTTTCGAATTTTTAATTGTAAGAAATTGAATCATTTTCTGATAACACTAATTTAATTTCATATATCAGTTTTTGAAGTGTAAACTGATTTTTAAATTCTGCTAAACATAATTTCATAAAGGATTGTTTGTTTCACTTTACTTAAGGTTATTAAAAAAATTAAGTCCTTCATCTCAATAAGAAATTTACGCTCATCAAATTCAAAAACTTTTTAAAAATACGTAATGATCCTTACTTAGATTTGTCAAGAAAAGGACTCAGTTTATTAAATTTATTTTTCCTTATTTTGATAATTTAAAGTATTGGTGATTTCAAATGATTAGAAATAAGCTCATAATTTTCAATTTTTATTTCATAAATTTTCAAGCAATTATTTACCATTATTCTTTATTTGATTATAATTTACTATCTTATCTGGAATATCTTATGATTTCTTTTCTAAAAATTCAATATTTAAAACTAACAATTAATTTTTAACTCATTTTTTTAAAAATGAATTGCAATTACATTATAAATCTTGCTATTTCTTAATAAAATATAACTAAAATGCATACAAAGCATTGTAATCCTGACTTCATAAAAATATACAGGTTCAGAACATTACACAAATATAATTTTTAAAGGCAATTTAGTTTATTCTAAGGCATGTAATAGTAAATATTAAATTTGTATATGCTTACAATTATATAACCAAAGATTACACTTTATACCACACTTACATATGTATTTAATGGAATTGCTGAAAAAAATTAATGATAAACTTAAAATTCGAATTGATTTCTTATTGGCAAAAATATGCCCTTTTATCGGCCTTTTTTAGAAATATTTGTGATTACTTACTAATTTATCAATCAAGGAATATTAAATTTACTATGTAATCATTTAATTTTAAAATAGTAACTAACAATTAAAAAAAAAAGATAAATTAATAGTAAGAAGTTATAGGGTGGGAAAAATTAGTTTATTAATCGAAATAATTAAGAATAAATAGATATTACTATCAAGGAAAAATTAAATAAATGCTAACCAAAATACTTCCTCACTTTTTTGTGTTAAATAGACAAAAAAATCTAAAAGTAAGTAACTGTCTATAAGTTTTTTTAAGTTGTAATATTTAAAAATTAATTTGCTATGAATATTTTTTATCAGTCAAAATTAAAAATATCATTTTAAATAAACAAGAGACCAAAAATGGCGAAAAGGTTTGGATTTTTAATGTTAAATTTTATATTCAATGAAAAAGATTTTCTATTTTATATTTTATTTTGTTCTACATTTATTTGTTTGTCGCTTGATAAGTAAGAATATAAGAGAAAGATGAAGGAACAAAATTAATTGAATTCTTAAGTAGCATAAAATATTAGTCTTATTTATTACATAATTAAGTGAAAATGATTCACAAAAAAACAATCAAACAAACAAATAAATAAAGCAGAAAGAAAGAAGAAAAGTTAAAAAAATAAAAGAAATTATCTGAGAAACAAAAATATATAAAATTTGCAAAAAAATAGTGATTGGTTGATAATAGGTCTTTTTTAAATAGAACTAAATAAAGCTTAAACAAATTAATTTTTGAAGGAGCTATTAATTTCTAACATCTAAATTTATTTATTTATTTATTTTTCTATTTCTTAATTAAAATTCTAATTTAAACTTTTACTAGAAAAATAACTCAATTTTAAGCAATCAATTTTTTTTGTATCTATTAAAGCTTCTTGATATATCATTAATTCATATTCTTTTCTATGTTCTTAATGATCGATTGCAAATTATTGACTAATTAATTGGCTTGAGTCTTTATTTATTTATTTATTTATTGGTCGATTAATAAATTTTTAATTTTGTTATTAATTAATTGATTGATTGATTCTTTTATCAACTAACTATTGGTTGATTTTTTTGTCAACTATTGATTGACTTTTATATTCAATTAAGAATTTTCTTATTAAAAATTTGAAAATATAAATTTGCTATTTTTATTGATTTATTTATTAGATTTTCAGACTCAATGTAGTTTATATTAAAAAACTATACTTTACTCTTTATGAATGGTAATCGCCATTTTCTATGATAAATAATTTAGGATTTTGAATACAAAATAATATTCTTTAATATTTGAATAAATTTAGCCTAGATCTTTAAATAAATCCTATCAATTTTTAATTTTTATTGATGAATTTATTTTAAAATAGTCTATTTGTTTACTGAATTTTCAATTCATAGTTACCTTTTATAATTAAATATAATTGTTTAGAACGAAGTTTTTTCTGAGACAAATTTTACTTGCTAAATTTTTATTTTAGCATATTTGCAATGTATTTTATGATCGTTTAAATAGATATTTTGCAATTTGAATTGAGCTACATGTTAAAAAGTCCTTTAATTTTGCTTCACTTGAAAATTATTGATATGAAATACAAAATTTACACTATTAAGCTGCTTTGATAATATTGTCATTATTTTTCGCTGATAAAGACACCTTACAATCGTCTATAAATTTCTTATTTTTTGTAGAATAATTTGAATAATGTTAAATGGATTGAAATGAAAACGATAGCATAATTCAAACAAACCAAACAAATATTTTTAATTTGTCGATAAGAAAATATTCCCCCATACATAAATTTTATTGCTGGTCCAGTAAATTTAGTTTTTTAAGCTTTTTTTAAAAAAAATTTTATTTTTCAGTAAAAACAACTCTTTTTTTAAATAAAAATAACTGAATTTATCAATAGAACAATTTACTGAGCTCTTTTAGCAAATTTACAATGTAGGTTTGCTAGTGAAGATTTTTCTATGAAATATTTGAATTTTTAAAAAAAGCAAACGAATGAGATAAAGAAAAAGAAAGCTATCGAGAGAAAGAGAGTGGGGAATCAATCAATCAAATAAATAAATATAAAATACAAGTTCCTTGTTTGCTTATTTTAAAATATCTTAGATTTTTAATTAACTACCCGATAGATTCACAGATCAATTAATCAATCTATAGATTAAATGCATAAATTGATTGATTAATTAATAGAATATATTTTAAATTTGTTTTCAGAGAGTGCGCGTTATGGTAAATCAAATTTTTTTCATTTAAGAAACTTAGTAGCAGAAAGTAACAAGCAGCTCAGAGGGCTGCAAGGATTACAAAAATTAGTGGGAAACAGAATTTATCGTAGGAAGTAATTAATTTGGGACAGAATTCATTGTAAAATGTTAAAATCTAAGCTGGGCGCATGTTGAAAGATGGGGATAGAAAAAATTTCAATTAGTGCACATAAATAAAGGCTGGCGTATGCAATTAATTGAATTATTTATTCAATCATTCATTCTTTCAAAAACTGAAGAGTGAATTTTAGATTTCAACTGTAAGGAAATGATAAATGTAAACAAAATTTCATTAAAAGATACGAGCATAATTAATTATTTCCGATAGCAATTATCACTTTTTAATTCAGTTTTAATCAAAGTCCATTGCTAAATAACTTGCTAGCTGTCTATCTATCTATTTATTATTTTTATATATTGATTTCATCTATTTAATTCCAGAGGCTGATCCATTCTCATAATTTCATAAAAACACTAAAGATTTAAAAAAGAAAAAAAAAAAATCATCATCATCATCTTCTTCATAACCCATTCATAATTAATACCTAATATAAAATCAAATACTAGATTCTACTCAACAAAAGATAATAAAGAAAGGAGCAAAATACATAATCTCTATTTGCTAAATACTTTGAAATATTCAATCGCTCTTCAAGCAATTTTGCAAAATATCGTATCTAGGATTTACACTCAATACTAGTAACCCTTGCTAAAAGAAAGAAATTCCTCTTTTGTTTTACATTTAGTAACGAATTACTATCAGAAATTATAAATCTAACAATAACCGTAACGAACAATCAAACAAAAGAAAATATAAAAATGAGACAAGTTGATTTTTAACTTATTGATGGTTCCTCTTGCTCTTTCGGAGAAACATCTCCAAGCAACTCTTAAGCTGATCATTTGACTATTGGGAATCTTGTGTTCGAGACTAACCCTTAATTTTGTTAATCTGCTTCCGAAGAAGACTACTTTAACAGTGTCTTATCTGCTAAGCAAAATGCACTTCCTATTTCTTGCATTTTAGAAAAGAAGCAGAAAGGGATCATAGAAGTAAATTATTGTCAAAAGCGCTCTCAATTCTCTAGTTTCAAAGAAATGTCTTAACAAGTTAATAATATTTGTGCTGAATAGCAACACTCTATTCAAAAGTATTTGACTTTATCATAGGATCATAAATATTAGAATGAAAATAATAATATAAGTGATTCCGATTCGAGTAGTGGTCGCGCTAGTTATTAATCTTGCTAGGAATTAGAATCAAAAGAATCAGCATTTGCTTACTTTATTGAAAAAGAGCTGGGCAGCTTTTCTAACAATACAGGAATTAATGGTAAATCATAAATTTTCTCTTACACAATTATCTAGTGTGTCGAAGATGAGCTAGAACCTTTCATCTTGCGTAAAGGCTTCAGTGAATCCCTTGTAACTATCCTAGGTTCAAACCGTAATCATTTCTAGTAAATGATGATGAGAATCTCAACTTACGAACCCCGCTCTTAAGAAATTCGTCGTTAATAAAACAATCAGCTCCTTTAAACCCACTTGTAATGCTTCGAAGCATCCAAAATGGCATCATAAGATGCTTACTCACAGCAAAGTTCCTCCTCCTAATAAATTTTTTATCCAAACTTCCTTCCCACATAGCCCTTAGTGAATTACTATCAATCTCAAATTGAAACTTTAGAAAAAATAATTCTAAATTGCACTGTAAGCTCTACAGCTATTCCCTGCATATTAAATGGAGTCTTATTAGGTTTTATCTAATTCGAATTCTATGCATTCCAAGCTCCAATTGTTAAAAAGCTTATCGCAGACAGAAGAGTGAACAAGATGTAAATTCCTAACTTCTGGAATGAACAAGAATACAACATCAAAAGCGAATTATTCCTATAAAAAATGGAATGCTATAACAATACAAACTGATCTTTACTCATCATACTAAAAAACAAAATACTAACATAAAAAACTCATTCCTATCCAAATTTCTGTAATCATGAACAAAATCTTATATAAATTAATTTTTAGTGCAAATTCAAACTATCTATCTATATTATACGATTCGAACAATCAATCAATCAATCAAAAAAACAAACAAAAAAACAAATCAATCAATCTATAAATCAACAAATAGACTAACAAGAAATAAGTTAATATATAAACTAACTAACTAACTAACTAACTAAATAACAAATATACCAGTAATCAATCATATCATTTAAAGAATGTAACTAGCTTGGTTATCTATTAAAAAATTGAAAAAGATCATTTAGACAAGAATCATAGTTATACAATCACTTATAAATAAATTCGTATATAAAGAATGTAATTAAATATCATTATTTTCAAGACCTTACTAATCAAAAAATTTATAAAACAATAAATCAATCAATCTATCAATTAATAATTTGATAATAAAACATCAAAAAAATTTAATTAAAATTTATCATCAATTAATATTAAAAAATACCAATAAATAATTAAATGTTTATTTATATGTTTATTAGCTTTCTATATAAAATTCTTAAATTTATCTAATTTTCTCTATTGCAAATCTTACAGTCGTCTGTTAATTTCTAAAAGGAACAAATTAAAGCAATAAATAAATTTCTTTTCATTACTGAAATCAATTTTTATTATATTTCTCTAGTTAATCATTATTATATGTGTAAATTTTAACTTAGATTCATACTTATTTTTATTTGATCGATTTTGTCTATACTACATTTCTAAATTATAACTTGTAAAATTACGATAAAATCTTTACATCGCTAAGATCGAGGAACAAAATGAACATAAATTTATGTATACTTATACAGAACTTTTTAAAATAGATTATTTTAATCTAATCCTTAAAAATTTCAGTAATAGCTTTGTTACAAGCTTTTTACTTGAAATATTTTTTTTGTGTAAAACCCTTATTAAAAGTTATTGTAAGATTGACAAAAATACTTTCAAATATTTTATATTCGTTTTTAATATTCAGATATTTGGATTAATTTTTAATTTTGATTGTAACTAAATTTATTTTTAGGAATCAAAAAATTACATACTTAAAAAATATTACAGGTTCCAAGTGTAATCAGATACAAGTGAACCATGTGACGTTGTATTTGAGAAATCCAATCATTTCTCTATTTTTTATTGTTAGTAGTGAATAAAAAACATGGAATTCAAGAATAAAGGTATTTATATGTCCCATTTTAACTATTTTCTTGAAATTATCATTCATAGTTAAACAGTAAGTATTTTTTAAAGAAATAATCTGTGCAAAAAAACATAATGAATAGATATAATTTTACTCAATAAAATAAGAAAATTTACATTTTACTCTTTTGATTTAAAAGTGTTTGTACATACCCCCAAGATCCAAAAAAAAAAAAAATATAATATAATAAATTATCAATTGATTTCCATACAAAATTAATTTGTTTATAGAATTCCATCCAAAAATAAATCTTTTAATTATTAATTTATTTTTTTTTGAGACATTAACAAAAATATAAGTTTTCAGAAATTATAAGTATATTATCTTGAAAACTTAATCTCATAATCTAATATCAAATTTGTGGGTTTTCTCAAAAACTGTAAAGCTCAATAAGTAGTTCTAACTAATAGATAGGTAAAAGAATATTTAGTTAAATTTTTTACTTTTTAACTTAATATATAATAATGTTTACTTCCTCAATTTATGATTTTTTAGTGCTGAAATACATAAATAAAATCTATCATTCTATTACGATGTTTTCTAGTAATCAAAACAATACAGAATCTAAAACCTCAAATACTTACTTTTTTTTCTCTTGTAACCAAAAAAAATAAAAAAAGGGGTAAACTAAACTCTATTATGAATACCGAAATTGATGATGTTTGCTCACCACATTTCCATTAATGTTCTAGGTCTAAATTTCCAGAAGTTATATATTAAATAGTTTTAATGAATGTGTCTTTTTAAATTATTGCAACATTAAGTGGAAAATTTTTGACAAAAATTTTTGCAGAAAAGAGACATCCTATCACACAAACTTTAAGAAAATGGACTAAATTTCTCGAAGTTTAATCTTCATGTTGCACACATTCATAATAGAGTAAATAAAATCTAATAAAGAAGGCATTTTATTGTGATTTTTTCTATATCCTTGGCATATTTTATTTTTTAAAATTTTCATTATTTGCTTACTTTTAATGGTAAATACCAATTTTTTACTTTGAAAAGAAATCAGTATTTTTTTAAAAAAATACACTGAAAAAATGATATTATTGTTCAACTTTCGAAGTTAAATTGGCTTTTTTGTTCAAATTATCATCAATATTTTACAATCAGAAAAAATTTTATAATGAAAAGCAGAAAACATTTGAAACAATTTCAATTAATAAATAAATAAATAAAAACTAAAAAAGTTTTAGATTCCACAAATATTTTTGAATAGAAATTATAACCTATGTAATACAAAAGAAGGAATAGAGTAATTTAAAACGCCTTAATTTTCTATTTTATTACATTTGAAATAGTAAATAATAAAAGTTTTCTATTTATTTTTATAAGATTAATAAATTGTTGTTATGAATAATTCAATAAAAGAAAAAGAATAATAATCAATTGAATTTATAAACAAAAATATTCGATAGCTTGTTTTGAAGTTTACAAAATATTTATTAAAGCAACTAACTTGGATTTGCATTCAAGAATGTTGTAAAAAATTCCGTTTCTTAATTTATGATAATTATTATTTAGTTACTTCATTATTAAATTAATTTAATTTTTTTACATTTTCAAGTATGAAAAAAAAATCTAAAATTTCTTGAATGAAGAAATAAACAAACATTAAATCAATAATTTTCAAAGTATTCACAATAGTAAATATTTATAAAAGTTATCAAAAATTCAGACATTAACAAAAATATAAATTCAACAAAACAAATAAATAGAAAAGAATTTTTAGACATAAAATTATGAAATAATAAAAAATTATTAAAACTATAACAAACAGTGATAGTAAAAAGAAAAGAGTGATTTAAATTAGTTTGATTGCTGTATTAAAAAATCCACTAAATTAGAAAATTAATTCACTCACTATTTAAATTTAGTAAGCAGAACTATAATTTTATTCAAATTAAAAAATATAAATTCTGATCAAAATTGATAAATATAAATATAATAAAAAAAATATTGCTATTACCTAGGCTAATACATTTTTTAAATTAGTGGAGAATATGCAATAAATTATTTCATTAAACTAGTGATAAAAAACAAACTAAATTTATCAAACTATTAAAAGTATCTTTTTGAATTCTAGTACTTTAAATTACGAATAAATAATTTTTCAAATACTTAAATCAAGTATTAATTTTTAATTACGCATATATTTTATTAACTATTAGCAAATATTTTGTCAATTTATTTTCAAATGGTGGAGTTAATTCACTGCATTTTCTATTTATGCAGTTATTGAAATATTTAAATTTTATTTTAAAAATTTTAAAAATAATTTCTGATTTGTAAGAGTACTATTAATTCAATCTAATCAGGCATATTTAATTAAATCCAATTTAATGCAAATATTTGCTTATTAAACTAAAATAAATAAATATCTTTTTCCTCAAAATATTTATCTCCTCAAAAACTCATATAAAGTTAGTATAGAAACACTTTTACATTTTTAAGAGATCATCTTTATCTATTCTTTTGCTTTAATTGTAAATAAATTTACTAATTTGTAACAAAATGTTATAGATTCTTTCAGCCTAACTCCACTGGAATGTTTTTAAGGTGGTCAAAATTTAAATTTTGGAATACAGATTTAGTTTTTATCAGTAAAAAAATTTTTGATTGATTTGGAAGGAGATTACTTTTTTATTGATCTTAATAAGGATGAATAGAAGATCACAAATTATTTTTCAATAAAAGCAATAGACAAAGTGAACAAATTTGAAAAGAAATTAATATTAACAATAAAACAAAAAATTTGAAGTTATCCCAGAAATATTTTGTGAAATTGTTTAATTTTAGAATTAGATTTTGTTTTAGAATTATCGCTAAAATATTATCTATGTGTTTTTTATGATTTATTTGTATTTATGAATAAAATAATACTGACTGGGAGAGTATATAATTAAGTCGATTAATAGAAAGAATGATAACTAGATTGATTGATTTATTGATTAATCGATTGACTTTTTGATTAATTGATAGATTGATTGATTAATTGATTAATAAAAAAATTAATTTCTATTTGAATTCTTCTAGTTATGGGTTTTGTAAAAAATTGTAATGAAATTAAAAGCTATACAGCCTATTCTTACAAAAATTCATGGATTGAATCAGAACCACAAAATGTAGATTGAATCCAAATTCACCGGATCTCAGTTTGATTGAAATAATTTATCAGTTATACCTAGAAACCATTCTGATTTTAGCTTATAATAATTATTGAATTTTTAATGACAAATAGAATTTTACCATTCTTTTCATTTTTTTTTATTTAGTGTGTAAGCTGGCATAGGCATTTTTAAGGCTCCAATTATGAAGTTTTTATTTGAATATTTAGAGTTTTATTTGGTATTTTGAACATAAATTTATTTAAATTTAATAAAACATCGCTAAATTAAATAAAAATTAACGCTTTTGAAATACTAACAATTGTCAATAATAAATCTTTTAGTTTAACTTTTAGGAATGTAAATTGGCTTATACTTTACTTTTGGGATGTATTAATCACCATGTAATAATTAATTAACAAAATATTTATTCAATCGTTAATTAAAAATATCCATCCTTCCCTCCCTCCCTACCTCCCAAAAAGTCTTCATAAAATAAAAATGAATTATTTTTATAAAATTTTTTATTTTAAGAGAAGAATCTTTGCCTATTTCCTTATATTATAATTTAATTTTGATAATCATATTAGTTAGAACCAAATATCACTTGATATTTTTAAAATGTATTTATCTATCAATCTAAATCCATTCTTCATTTTCATTTCTTAAAAAGCTTATTCTTCCAAATTTAGAATAATTTCTCGAAAAAGGAAGCATACATGCATGAAAATAGCAATAAATTTTAATAGAAACTGATTGTAAAAAATTGCTTCGCCTAATTTTAATTTATAGATATATAGATAGCATATTTTAGTAACTTAGCTATTACAAATAAGTGTAATTCCATGTATGTTATGATAAAACAAATGGATTATGATCCTTAGAATTTTTATTTTATTTTAAACTTGATAAACTTACAAAAATTAAAGATATTTATAGTAGCGTAAGAAGTATTTATAATATTATTGAATATATTTTAATTTTATTACACTCAAATTAAGAAATCAATTATAAAGAAAATAGAATAAATGATAAACCATAATTTTCATTTTATATAAATGTAATAAATATTTTTCAAAATTAAAAACAAATATTTAAGCCTTATCTATCCATAATCGAAATCTTTTAATTTTGTTGTTTACAGCTTTTCTTGTAATATTTGAACAAGTGCCAATTAAAAAGAATTTATTTTTTTAGTAAAATTTAATTCTTTTGTTCAAGGATATGTCTTATTGGATAATATTGATATATTTATTTATTTGTTAATTTAGAGGGATTTTACTTAAAATTTGTTTGTATGTATTAATTATGAGTTTGTTTTTTTAAGGAAATTATTTGTATAATATTTATTGATGTAATTTCAAGGATTTATTAAATATTTTTTTGCATACCTAGTAGTATAGATAGATACGCATTCAATGTTAAATTACAAAGATAGTTTATTTTTTTTATTAGCAAAAGAAGAGATTGATTGGCTGAACAAATCAAAAAAATTATGAATGAATGAACCTTATTCGCATTTAATAATAATTAGTAAAATTTTATTTACTTACTTTTTAATTAATTTTTGAGATTTAGAATGATTGGATTGTTTTTTTTTTTTCCAAAAAGAAAGATAATAAAACAAAAATAATTAAGTAATCTTTGTGATCTAAGATTAAAATCAAATTGAGGAGTTCTGATATCAAATATTATATATATATAAATAAATAAAAACACATATATGTTGTTAGCACATTAATTAATCTTTCCAATATCAAAATGATATCTTTTACAATATAATATACGTTGAAACATTACGAGATATCGAATTAATTGATGCATAGACATAAAATATAATAAAATATAAATAAGATACAGTCACCTTTGACGTATTATTTATCTTAAGCCCAAATTTTAATTCATTATAAAAGTGTTATTTGGAAAAATTAGAACGCTTACATTTACGCTCAAGCATAAAAATCCCTTTTTGTAAATCAAAGTTATATGCAAATTTAATTTTAAAGGATTTTTGGTGGTATCGATCATAGTTTTTAAATTTAAAGGAGTAAGCATATTCCTTAAATAATAATTAGGATCTTCCTAATTATTATGTATTTTTTACTACGACGAATTTATTCATTTTAGCTCTAAAAAGGCTTACATAATACGTAATTTTCATGGTAGAATGTTTCTATTAAAAGTTTATAGAATGACTAACAACCATAAATCAAATAACAAGTAATGTTTAATTTCATGTAAGATTTTTGCATGGGATTAGAATGATTGAAAAACTAGCAGATGATAACTTAAATAATTCTTATAAATTAAAAAGTTGATCAATTAAATTATGATTTACCCACTATCATTATTATGTATTTACAAATGTTGATTGTTGATTATTACAATAAAATAAAAAAATTTGTGATTATAATTGCAAGCACATAAACAAAGGTTATTAAATAACTCAACTAGTTCATTCTTCTTTTGAAAAAATTTTTTTTGGCTAAAAAAATTCTAGGAAGTAAAAGAGGAAACTTAAAATTTTTGTGCAAAACAGATATTTTCAGTTAAACTACATTCTTTAATTGTAGTAAACGCATTTGCTAAAAAATTTTACTCAAACTACCAAAGTTACTGCCTAAACTGATTTAATGTTTTCTGATTAATTTTTAATTAATAGTTTTTAATAATAATCAGATATCAACAAAAACCTAGCCAGGTAGCTCAGATTTTATTCACTACTTAGAGATTGATTATATATTTTCAAATTTTTCTTTACCTTCCAAAGAAAATAATCATCACTGACTAACAAGTAAATAAACCCTCTTAAAACTTTAATAAGTAAACATTAATAACTTTAATAAAACAAAAAAAAAAAATTATTCAAAATTTAATTAAAAATATCCTTGGAACAACAAAAAAAAAAGATCTAGTACAACGTTTAAACTTCTATGAAGCAGACTCAAGCATGTACAATTAGTTCTATACCTTCGAACGATTCTGCTTAAGTTAAATACTTTACTATTGGCAACATGCTTTTTGAGGTAGATGCCAATAATAGTAATTAAAGCTCACCAGTTCTTCGTCCTTAAAATTCAAATTCCTTCTATTGCGGTTCTCCTAGCTCTTCACACTATGAAATGAGCAATCTTTCAGAGGAAGGGTATTACTAGGTCCTCATGAAGCTAAGATAAAAGTTATAACCAGTAACTTGCATTCAATTTAACAACAAATGCAATCAACTCGAGGCTACTATTTTATAAGAAAAATCAGCTATCTAATTCAATTAATATGAGCAACAAGAGCTCTTTTATGAGTTCTAAGCAAAAAAACCTCAATTTAGCTAAACACTTGAACGATATTTTACTTTAAGAAACTAGGCTTCAAGTTTCAACTATCTAGATTAAAGTAGTAGTGATTCATGTATGAGTAGTATTAATCCTACCTAATAAAAATTGTAATAAGATACTAAAGAAAATATCTTTTACTAGTTCTGCAATCAAGAAATCACTAAATTAAATGATTTGAACGGTTAGCAACAATTCTTCTCCTACACAGTCGTACAATGTTTGGAAGATGAATTAACTCCTTACATCTATAAAATGGGATTCAGCGAATCTTTTATTTCAATCCTTGGTTCTAGTCGAAATAATTTCTAATAAATGCTAATGCGCTCTGGATCTTATCTTCCCTTCCACTAGGAAGTTCGCCTACGTTACAATATGTCTATAATAGAATCTCTCCTAATCTGCCATGATAAAATTCATGAAAATAAAAATTTTCACTGCTACACAGAAAATTGCCAACTCGAAACATTCGAAAGGCTCTTTTTCAACTGTGTAATCAACAAATATGTGATCCCATGTGTGTACGGAGGAGCTTTACTTGGATTCATAGTACTAGACTTATATACTATCCCAAATTAAGTAATCAAAGGTCTACTTTCGAGGAGAAAGCAGGCGAATTGTCAATTAGTTCCCATATTCCCTGAAGAATATATACAAAAAACAGAGGTATTTTTGCAAAAAATAAAAAGATACTCCTCATGAATGATAAAATGAATTACAATAAATAAACAAACACCTAAAAAAAAAATAAATAATTTATTTTCGGGAAATCTCCTCTCTCCTTTGCTTTAAGAATTTAAAGAATTAAAAAAAGAAAAGAAAATTGTATAAATTACAATGTAAATTAATATATTACTAACTTTAATTAATAACTTCTTATAAACCTAATTACTCCTCTTAATATCTTTATCTGGGAAGTCAGCCAACAAAAAATTGATAAAAAATACACTTGCTTCCAATAGATTTCTAACTAAATTAATTAAATTAACCAGAATCAGTTATGCATTCGCACTCTCAAACTTAGTAAGAAAAAATAGTAATCCATAGTAAACATTTTAAAAATTTACTTAGATCGCAAATCAATCAATCAATAAATTAAATAAATAAATTGATCTAAAATCTTTTGCACTAACCAACCAAGCTTTCAGCTTAGCAATCAAAACAAACAAACAAATAAACCTATAAATATCAAAATATTTTGTTCCCTTTAAACGATAAATAATTCCTATAAAAAACTCTTGAATCGAAATGATTTTTACTTCTGCATAAACTCAAAGAATTTTAATTTTACACTATCACTAATATAGAATTTTACAAAATATATATAATAATTTCTGTATAAACACAATATCATTCATTTTTAATAAGATTACTGTAATTAAAAAAAGTAGTTTAAAAACTTAAATCAATTTTTAGTATTCGTTTATAAATAAATAAATAAATTAATTCCCTATTCTTTGTTGTAAACTCCTTTAAAAAAACCTATGTCTTACTGATTTTAAAAATTGTAATCAGATTTCCTTTTATAATTCCTTCTTACTTCCCGCTTTTCTGTTTTATATTTAACACAAATTAATTTAATTAATTTTCCTTCAAATCAATACAAATAAACAACCAAACAAATATTAGCAGTCCTTATAATAACAATTACTACTTTTTCAAGATTAATTCTTGCTATATTAGCCAACCAAAACGTTTGTTTCTTAATTTATCTTACTCATTTCATATCAACGTTATCCTGTAAGCCAAAATTATTTACTTCACATTTCCCCGACAAACAAACATATTAAAATGCCAATTGATAAATGATCTATGAATTGTTACAACTTAATAGTAGAAATTCAAATTTAATTATCATTTGTTTGTTTAGAAATTTCGAATTTTAAATGAATTGCATCATTAAGAAAATGAGCCAATTTTTTTTTTAATAATCTACACTTCAGACGTATCATTTATTAAATGATTCATTCATTCGTATTAAATTTATTTACTTCTTTTTTCTTTCTTTTTTCGTTTCTTAGCAATCTTTTTCTTATCTTCCCTATTTACCTATATGTGTAAACTCCATACTTTCAATAAAAGAAGTATATCAGATAAGTTATTACATAATTTCTAGATTTAATAAGGTTTCTGCTCAGCTTAATAAATTCTGATTCAACCGCTTAGATTTAAAAGTAGTATTATTTTATTAAATTTTCAATTAATAATGAGCTTTTAATGCTTCAGAATAATACATATGGACTAGTAGAATAGTATTTTCAAAAGTCATAGTAATTCCTATTCTAGATTACACTCAAAATAAAGGGTTTTCAAATCTTTATTAAGAGTCTACGTACTTTTTTTCTCTTTTAAGCATAAGATATACAAGTAAGATACAAAATGTAATTACCAATAAATATTGTTAATTAAGCAAACTCTAAAAATATTACTTCATTAACAATATACTAATTAACTAGTAACGCTCATTTATAGATATATTTTTTTCTAACAAAATATTATTTTCTATCATAAATTTTATTAAAAGTCAACAAAAATTGTTATTTTTATACATAAATTTACATAAAAGTAACTAAAATATATTTAATTGCATTAAAATCTATTTTCACATTAACTTTTTTTGTCTTGATTATTTTTTTTAATATTATCATTTTTAGTAAATTAATCAATGCTTAAAACCTACAAAGTGATATTTATTTTAAAAATCACTACTTGTGTTTGCTATATTTTTATTTTAAGCAAAAATTTAGCTTACATTCAAAACAATTAAAAAATATAAAAATAAATGATTTACTATTTAAGTATTCATCAAAGTATAAGAGAAAGTTTTGAGCTTCTTTCATATTAATTATTCTAAAAAGAAAAAAATAAATTTTTATTAAAAATGTAAAAATGTGAATTAGCTTTTAGAATAAAAATTAAATTTTGTCAATAAATAATAAACAAATTTATAACAAAGAAATTTTAGTAATTGATAGTTGAGTGAATAAGAAAATTTGAGATGAAAGATTTATTGATTATATTTGCTAAATATCAACATTACAATTTACATTAATAAAATAAATATGATTAATTATTACAGCCAGCGGGAGAAAATCTAATTAAAATTGATAAATTTATAAATTCAAATTAATTTAAACACTTATCTTGCTTACAGATAGTTTAATTGTATTATTTAATCGCTTCCACTAATTATTTTTATTATTCATCAAAATAGGTATTGGATCTATTAACTTTTAAATTTTAATTGTCTATGTAACTAATTTTTTTATCAATTTATTTACCATCAAACAAGCTACAAATCAACAATTTTACATTTAATATGCCTTATTAGTTATTAGCCTTTAAATTATTAGGCTATCGTTCTAATTCATTTTCAAAAAGTAAAAATTTTTCTATCAAATATTTCTCTTGATTTTATTTTTTGATTATTGTTAATTATTGTAAATCGGCAAAAAAATTAACTTCTTGATTAAATTTGGATCTGAAAGACAGCCATAGCTCTTGTTACAAATTTTAATTTTAAACATTAAAAAAATGGTAAAAGTTACATTTTGTAAACAAGTCTTTTGCCAATGTAAAATAATTCATATTATTTACTCTCTTTTTATTATCATTCTTGATTATTAGCTTTTCTTTAAAAAGAAAATTTATTAAATTACAAAAAAAAAACATTACAAATTTTTTAATATAAATTCAAATCAAATTCTAAAATTTTCTTGTTTGCTATTTTAAAATTTTTAATTATTTATTATCAAACAAAATATAATGTAGTACTAAAACTTTAAAAAAATTTTTAAATTTAAGCACATTTTAAATACTAATATTCGAAAGAAAAACTCAAACCAAAACCAAGCTTAGATTATTAAATATAACAACAATAAATAAATAAATTAACTGCTTCAATTGCTTGACTTAGTTTTCAATTTAAATTTTTTAAAATTAGATTTTATTGATGTGTTGATCAAATTTACATTTTTAATTGGAATTGTGTGGTTATATTACTAATAAGATAAAAATCTGAATTCAATTCTTACCATAATAATTTGGATTAATAGCAGCAGTTGAATTTCTTTGAATTAAAACCAATACATTTAACAACTTTTCTAACAGTATTTTTACATGTAACAAATTTTTAAAATAGGATATTTTTATTTAAATATTAAAAAATAGTTAGCCTATTATTTCTAAAGATTTCTTTTATGACTAAATAGAAAACTTTTATTATTTATTTATATACTGGAAGTTATGAATCTTTGATAAATTTTTAACTTTAATCATGAAAAGCAAAAGCATATATTAAAAACAGTTTACACTATAACATATTCAAGCAATTATTTAGAATACTGTAACAAGTTAATAAAAATATATTAATTGCTAAATCTTATAAATAGTTTTTGTGAAAATATGAATTAAAATATTTACGATTTGTGTTAGTAAGTATAAAAATTGGTATAATTCAAATATTAAAATGTATTTTGCAATAATAAATTACATTAAGTAATTCTTCCTTTGTTACTATGACGGATGGATGATTTTTCTTTTAATTAATCGAAAACTAATAGCAAATTTGAATAATGTAAGTACTTAGCTTATAATAAAATTTGAATATTTATTGTAATCTATCTATTACATTTAATAAGCCTGTAGCTGCATTATTTAATAAATTTAAATAAGCATGATGTCATCTCGAATCAGTTTGGAGATTTTATTTCAAACATTCAAATAAAAAGGATATTAAAAAATAAATTATAAATAAAGAAGTATCTAAATCAAAAAAATTACAAAAAAAAATATCTTTAAAAGACTATAAAGTTATAATAGCTTGTAATTAAGAGAAAATCAGCTTTTTATAGCTAGTGGATTTTGAAAAGATTCAAGTAATTTTTTGAATTTAGAAAATATTTATTTATTTATTAAAAATTAAAATGAATGTTTGTTTTTAATTTGAGAATATGACCTTTTATTTTAGTGAAAATTGTTAATAAAGGTTTACAATTGTTATTATTAAATTTCACAACCTATTTTATTTTCAATTACTTAATTACACTTTTTAAAGCATATAATGCGTAATAAGGTATTTTCATTATTATAAAGATTAAATCATTCTAAATATTGGTTAATGTAAATCATCATTAATTCTAACCTAATTAATTTATCGTAATAATCTATAAAAATTAATTAATCTGGGAATTATTTAGAGCCAGCTTGTAAAGAGTCTTGATCTAGATTGAGAGGTTATAAAGTAATTAAAATTTTATTCTTTTGAGTTAAGATTATTTTATTTTTTTTAGTTAAATAAAATAAATTTATTAAAATAAATATTACTAACTTAAAGTTTTTGGAAGAAATAATATTTATTTTCCTTCTTCATAGTTTCTTATATAAATATTTAAATTAAATTATTCATAATTTTATAAATGGTTATATTAGTCATAATAATTTTAAAATCAAATACAAACTCTTAACATAAAAAATAGAAATCTTTTAAGATATTTAACATTTTAATTAAAAAATATAAGTTAGTTAAGTTATATGGTAAAGTGTGATATATTAAATTACAGCAAAATTTAACAAGTTTTTAAAAATAGATAAAAGTTGAATTATTCAGATAATGTTCATCACAATGTGATTTAAAACACTTTCTTCATTTAATTTATTCTATTTTTTACTGGCTATGTCATAGTTTTGCTTTCATTTTCATATTATCAGTCTATATATATTATTTATTTTATTATTTATTAGTTTTAGTTTATCATTATGAAGCTTTTTTTCCATAAGTTTGTGCTAATTCATTGATCTATTATACACTAATATGTCCTTCAGCACTATGGTCAACAAAGCTGTATAAAATTTTTCCTGTAATATCGAAAACATAAGCACCTCCCAACTAATTTAATAAAGAATATTTGTTAGAATAATAATTCATTTATTTTATAAAGTTTAATAATTTTGCCTTATTAACTTTTTATTCAAAAAATATTAAAATTTTCAATAGATTTTCATCTAAATACTTAAGTTAATTATCAAAAAATTTTATGCATTTTAAAGGAGCTATTGAAATTTTTTATTAAGCTAAAAAATGAATATTTTTTTTAAAAATTGTTATTTACTTGATAAACATCACCTTAGTTTCCTCTTGAAATGGCCTTCCATAAAGACCAAGACATTCCTCCGACTAATGATGAAGAAGTTTCTTAAGATTTCTTGCCATCACCTTTCAATTCTGAAAATCCGTTTGCTCTAATCATGCCTAACTTGTTGTAAGTAAAACGATCAGGATCAACAAAGAGACGATTGATTGGGAAGTTAGTGTCTTTGCTAAATAAATTGATTCCGTTCTTCTTGCCGCATCCAACTACATTGAAGTTTATGTCTAATTTCTTAAATTCCTCAAAGTTGATTTGCTAGCCAAGTACTTTAACGAAATCTTTGCAGACGTATCAATTGAAGTGACGAATAAAAACTACTATGGATCTTTAAGCTTCGTAAAGAGTCCTGAATTTAACTCCATTATCACCAGACCCTTATATCAGGTAGTCTGCCAACTCAGTATCTACTTATGTTGGTACGTTGGTTTCCTTTTTAGTGTCCATTTAACTTTAATTATTAAAATTCTTATTGAATTATTAAAATTAATAAACTAATTTGTTTGTGAATATCCTATTTATACAAAACTTCTATTAAGAGTGTAAAAATTGCTTAAGGATCATTTGCGTATTATTTTGGTACAAGCTATTGTTTTTGCAACTCTAAATTTATAATTAAATTTTGTTTATAGTATATTTACTTAATAAGAAATTATATAGAAGTATTTTATTTCCATTCGTCATCTACGCAATACATTATAAATTGGAGCTCAATGAGTAAGATAATTTAAGCATTCCAAGACTTTGTTCTATCATTTTTCCAAATTTCTTCTATTCGTTAATATTTTGTATTAAATAACTATTCAACTACCTATCCTTCCATTTTTTAGTTGATTTTTACATTTACAGTGACTCAGCTTTTTACAATCTGAAATAAACTTATCCTAATAACATTAAATTTATGTCAAAGCAAAGTAGAAGTTTCTCAATTTATTAAAAGACCTTCCAGAATTATCTATTTTACTTAAATATTTCTGAATCTTGTTATGCATATAAAATTTTATTGACATCAACTTCTTGTGAGATTTAATTTAAAACAATTAAATTTATAATTTATCTAATCAAAATCACATAAATAAGTTTAAATAAATGGTCAAATGCCCTAAAGACTATTAAAATTTGATGAATCATTAACTATATTTTGTTTTTTAAGTGTTTTTGATATTTTGTATGTAATTTATTTTAATTAGTTATAAACCCTTTTTAAAAATTTTATGACCACAAATTTAATAATCTTAGTAATTGTTAAACAATAACTTCTCACTTACTCAGCTATTCAATTTTTAAAATACCGACCGTGGAAGTAAAATTTGATATTATATTTTTCTATAAAATATTAATAAAATCTTTGAATCATTATTAAGACTTTCTAGAATCTGAATTAATTATTTGATATCGTCAATATTTTTTTCATTTATATTCACATTATAAAAAAAATAATATAATGAAGCATTTTGAATTGGTATGGAAAGTGAAAAATATTTACTTTAAAGTTGTTTGACTATTTCAGAAGTTAACCAATTTATTTTTTTAAAATTTATTAAAGAACATGAAAATATTTTTTTTTCTATATTTTAAAAAATATAATTTTATTTTATATATCATTTGCTATTTTCCAAATTAATTATTCACATAAATTTGATTCTATTTTTAAAAATCAATTTAAATTATATCATTTTTAAAAGTTGTTTAATTTAAAGTTAAAAAATTTATCACATAAAGGTATTTTTAGTAGTTTTGATTGAAATAATAATGAATTTATTTTTTTCAATTTATTAGATTTTTATAAATTTTATTTTTTTATCAAAAACATACATAAAACAACTACTAAATTTTGTTGAATTATAAAATATATATTCAACTAAAATTTTATAAATGAAACGACAAACATTAAAGATATGATAAATAAATATTATTTGATTTATTAAAAAAATTACATCTATTTGATAAAAATTAAAAAAAATATGGCATATACTTTTTATAAACCTTAAAAATTAAATTTAAAAATTTAGATTATTTAAATTAAATTTGTAAAAACACATTTTTTTAAATTATAAGCTTCTTTTAGTTTTCAAAGAAAACACTGGTCTCTTAAAATAATGTTTTTTGACAAATAAAATTAAATTTATAAAATTTAGTTGCTTCTTTATAGTTTTTAAATTAATTTTTATACTTGAAAAATTAAAATTATTTGTTAAATTAATAAATTTATTTCACCAAGAAATTTTTAGAGTATTAATTATTAAGCTTTATTTTTATACAAATCATCTATTTTTAATTTAACTCATACTTTTTTTTAACTTTTATTTTTAATTTATAATTATTAGGAAATATTATAAATATACTAAGAAATATTTATGAGAGTATTAAGAAATATTTATGAAATCATTAAATAATATTGAAGAAAAAATAAGAAATTTTGTATTAACAGAAGCTTAAAATAGAATGTATCTGGTAAATACATTGATTAACTCATATTTTTAATGAAAATTATAGCTTTAATTATAATTAATGATTTATTTTAATTTTTTTTCTTTTTGTTTTGTAAAATTTTAACTTAAATTAATAATTAAAATACTATAAAATATGAATGTTTAGTTTTTCAAGTAAGCCAAACATTATCAAAACGACTTATGCAAAACTAAAAAATTTTTTGCAGTTCACAAATATCAAATTTATTTTGAGAATTACCTCTATATTTCATTCTTAAAACCATAATCTATTTTTTAATTTAATTAATATATTATAATATTTTATTAGCTAAAAAGATGATAGAAGTATTTTTTTTCATTATCTTGCTCATTAAAATTAAATAATTATTTATTTTATACTTACAAATTTATAAATATGTACAGTTTGTTATCTTTGATCAGAGTTTATCAATAAAATAACTTTTTGATGTAGAATAAGGATTTGTCTATTTTTTTGGTAGAATAAATAATGAGCGACAATATTTCAAATAGTAGAAAATTCAATAATATAAGTATCAGAAAACATTAGACTTTCTCCTACAACTTTTATCTTCGTAATTTATATCTACAAAAATTAAATGTATTGAATATTAAAAAATTATAAAAAAAGCAAAAGATATTATCCAATCAATTTATTATAGAATAAATAAAATGTATAGCAAAAGCGTAGTTTAGACTGCATAAAAAAAATCCATTATAGACATATTTAAATCTGAGGATAAAGATTTAAGTAAGAAAAAGTAATTAGAACAAGTAGTCTAAGGAGAAATTTGGGTAGTAAAAAAGTTTTTATCTACTAAATAATGTTAAGAAGTAATTAAATTCTCAGAAAGCTAAGGTTTTTAAGATGCTTTGGTTAATGTTGGATATGGTTTAGGAGTTCTTGATAAAGATTTTAGAGACTGCAATCGCGTTATGATTGACGATGTTGAAACTGCCTAGTATTTGGCAGAAAAACTAAGACCATATGTTCCATTATGTTAAGAAGGTAACTTTTTATTAGATTTTACGAATATATATTTCAACAATTATTAATATTAAAGGAGCATTATACCATGGAATGAATGAGAGATTCAGGATACTAAAGTATAGCAAAGATCAAAAGTTTGCTATGCATTAAGATGGATGTTGGAGTCCTTCGAAATCTATCTTTTCTATTTTGACAATTTAATTTTATTTGAATACAGTGGATAATGGAGGATTTACTCGCTTTGAATGGGAAGGATGGGAATCTAATGAGTATAAATGTAAATCAGAGGAGGGAAAAATAGTTATATTTAGATAGCAAGGATGGTGGCATGAAGGATCTCATGTTTTAAAAGGTAGTTAGTTTATGAAAATTATTCATTTTATTAAGCATTTAATAATAAATATATAATAGGACTAAAATATACAGTGAGAAACGATTTAATGTTCAAATTATATACTTAGAAAGAGTGGGAACAATAAAAATAACTTCATGATCTAACTTGCGGTGTTTGCTCTAAAAAAGTTAAAGCTGAGGTGTTACAGTGTGGACATTTATTCTTATTTTGTGGTTGCCATGCATTCTATAATGGAGATATTCATACAAACCCTGAAGAAAAAAAACGTCTAAGAAGTTGCTGCTAATGTGTCAAAAAAATATAATCTCCAAGCAAAGAACTTTATGAAATACTCTGATTGAATTATTATAATTACTGTTAAAATTTATGAAAAAATATTTTAATTAAACTATTAAAAAATTATTAATTATTAGTAATCATTTAAATAAAAATGTTTATCTGTTAAACTTATCAAAAGGATTAAAAAAACTTATTTATTCTTTTCAAGTTACAAATTTTATATAACTCATTACTAATTAATTTGATGTTTTTTTGAATATAGAATACCTTATTTTTAACATCAATAAATATAGATAGAGTACATCAATCCATCTTTTATTAATGTAGATTTATTAGTTTTTTTTATTTATATATGATTGATTATTTATAAGAAATAAATATCTTATCCATACTTAACTTTTAAAATAATTACTTATTCTAACAAAAAAAATATTTTTTTAAAATGATTCCAAATATTGTTAAATAAATAAATTAAAAATTATATAATTTTATGAACTAATTATTAATGTATAAAAATTGTTAACTTATTTTTTTAATTAATACCATAGGTACTCTTTTACACTAAGAATTAATTACCCCTGATTTTATTCTTA